CTTTACTTGGCAAATTTTAGAAAGTTTTTCTTCTTAGCTAGTTTTCATTGTCAGGCCAGTGTACTATCCCTTGCTGGCTTTACGCTTGTATTGAGAATATGACTCATTCATATGTTTGGGGTGAGCAACCTTTCTTGTGGAAAACAGTGCTTGTGTTTGCCCCTGCCGAGAGAGAGGAGCTGGTGCCCCTGCCTCATCTGATATCTCACTTTGGAGGTTTCTTATATTTTATAGGAGCTTTTTCTTATTTTCTGTACTTCATACATAATTGAACTCTTCTACAAGGCATTAACATAACCCAGAGAAGCAAATTTAAAACAAATCGTTCTGTAAACACTTGAAAAGCTAAGCCATAACAACTTGAAGAAGATTTATATGTTACATATGTGTCTATACCAGTGAATGCCATGGAGGCAGGCCAGTGTGGTGATATTTTTTTTATGCTACAACAAAGTTTGCCTGAAGATCAGAGTACCAAGCTAGCCACACTATTTAGCCATAGAGGCCAGGCAGTGATGGCACATACCATTAATTCCAGCACTCAGGAAACAGAGTCAGATGGATTTCTGTTAGTTTAAGGCCACCCTGAGCTACACGAAGTTGATCCAGTCTAAAAGAGAAACAGAGCTCACACAAAGGTGACCTCAGCACTTGGGATCCTATGCCTTTAATCCCAGCACTAGAGAGGAAAATAAGGTGGGGGGAGACAGGAGCTCAGTGCAGTCTGAGGATTGGTGGAGAGCAGTGCAATCTGGAGATGCATTCTGAGGACAGGATCACCCTTCAGTCTGAGCATTGGTAGAGGTGAAAACTCTCAAGTGGCTGGCTGCTTTGCTTCTCTGATTTTCAGCTTTCACCCTAGTATCTGTCTCTGTAGAATTCGTGCTACAGGCCAGAAGAGGGCATCAGATTCCTTGGAGCTACAGTTACAGGGAGCTATCAGCTGCTGATGTGGGTGCTGAGAACTGAACCTGGGTCTCTAGAAAAGTAGCAAGACTCTTGAGGGCTGAACCATCTCTCTGGCCCCTAAACTATAACTTGAAGAACTAAAGTCGTGGCACAGTCACCACCATTTTTGTTGCTCATTTCATTAGTGGCAGCAGTGGAAGAGATTGATAGGAAGGAGGCTTTCTCCACAGCTTCACTTTTTATACTTTGTTGTATCTGATTATGGCCCATGAGCCCTCAAATGTTTATTTCTCATTGCTCTTTGTCATTTTCAACATGACCCAAAACTAACAAAAAAGCTGTTGGGTAAAATCCACTAGTACTTTGCCACACTGTAAAGGAGATTCAACTGCCTCTGAGGAAATAGGGAGAAAACAGAGGGCTGCACTAGACCAGCCTGCCAGGGTGAGCCTAGAATACAAGGTGGAAATTCACATTTGCTTCCGTGGGTACAGGAAAACTCAGTGGTAAACAACTCAACTTTGGTATTAATTGGCATAAAATCCATAACCTGGCTTACAAAGCTCCAGCAACAGTCTGTACTCCCATGGTCTCCTGTAGCCATTGTTTCTTGTGCCTAGTGGTGTCTCAGGAGCCGATATTCTTGTCTCCTGGAAGACCCAGGTTTGTTTCCTAGCACCCACGTCAGGCAGCTAATGGCTCCCTGAGAGCCTTGCCATGGCAAGGTCAACTCCTCCATGTATTGACTGATCTTTTTTAGTATTTTTAATTTTATGTGTGTGGGTATTTTGCCTGAATGTTTATCTTTGCATCAGGTGTGTGCCTGGTGGTCATGGAGGCCAGAAGAGGGCGCCTGTCTTGGACTAGAGTTACAAACCATTGTGAGCTGCCATGTAGGTGCTGGGAACCAAGCATAGTCCTCTGGAAGAGCAGCCAGTACTCTTGACCACTGAGCCGTCTCTCCAGCCCTGACAACAGATTGTGTAAATAAAGCAGGAAGTGATGAGAGACACTGTCTGCCAAGTACTGAATTGCAGTGTTGCCTAGTCCAGTCACAGTCCCCTTCACTGAAAGAGAATTCCCTACTCCTGCTGACCTAAGCAGAAAAAAAGAACTTACTGGAAAAGTGTTGTGCAGTGTGGGGCTGATGAGAAGCATGAAAAAACAGGCTTCAGAACCAGAAGGAACTGAAGGCAGCCCAGAACCTGTGTTTCCAACCAGATAGGACCAACCTGGTTTAGGAAACCAGTTTTACTGTGTGTTGCAGGGACCTTGAGGCTGTGCTTGCTCTGTGGGAGCGTCTTACAGATGGCCTGTTTCAGCAGCTCTTTGATTCTAGCTTTCAGACTTACTTCTTGTAGGAGGTATTATTTCCCCCTCTTATGGTTCTGTATCATGTCCATACATAAAGCTGTCTTTACCAAGTACTTCTGACACTAGATAGGAGGAATTTCCGCTCATAATCTAAGCACTGTCTGCTGTCCACTTCAATTTCTAACTAAGTTCCAGAGTTAGTGTCAAACTCCTTAAGTTTAAAGGCTGAATCTCACTTGACTGACCTCAGTTTGGATGGCAGAGCAGTCATTGGATCTCAGGCTACGTCTGCTTATAGGCCTACATCAAGACTTCCCAGGACCAAGGACAACCATTTCCTCAATGACAATGAATGACATAGCCCAGGAATAACCAAATAGATGACAGACATGTGGTGAAGTATGGAGGGGTTTCAGAACTGCAGCCTTGTCCATCGTGCTACACCCTCTGCACCCTGTGTACCCAGTGCCTGACTAACAGATGTCTTATTGTGTAGTCATAACTTATTAAATTATGGGATACCAGTGATTGATTTTGTGTTTCTCCTCCCCTCCTCAGAGTTTTGGGGAGTGTGATGGCAGTTCAGGCTTCCCCTTGAACTTGTGGAGGCTCCACCATAATTTGCTCTATTAGCATGGGATTGATAGGAAGGGGCACTTTATGAGTGACAAAAGACACTCCCTTCTGTCACTCAAGAAATTCCAAGGACAGAGACTGAAGATAGGTGTTCTGTTTTGCTGCACATTTATTATTTGCATCCAGTCTAGACAGGTTTGATGTTTAATTGCCTAAGTGTCACTGTATTGTCAGAGCTGTTGATTGGTAAGCTGATATCGTATTATGAACAGTAAGCTGATAACGTATTATGAATGTGGCCTTGATGGAACCAGAGTGCCTGATTCTGAGTCCCAGTTTCCACACTCACTAGCTGTGTGATGTTGGAGCAGCTAGCTCTTACCTCAGAAATATTGGGAACATGAAGTCAATACTAGAAGTCATTTCAGGGCAAGGTTTGTAAGAAACACTTTATTGTAAGGTCAATGTTAATTAACATAATCATTATTAGTGACTTTGTCAAACGTCAGGTTAGGGCCCCAGTAAGGTGATCACAGTGTAGGCTCTAAGATGTGAACACAAATTTTCTGGGTTCTTGTTCAGCTGATAACAACTGATCAAACTGAAGTATTGATTTATAAACATACAAAGCTATAGGTTTTCTATCAGAATGTAAAACTGTGAGCTTGTGTGAACCCCCTTCTGTCAGCTGGGCAAATATAGAATAACAAGAAAAGAACAAATGAAAACAACTGTTTAAGGAATAAAACTTAAGGACATATCAATTAGTTTGACAGGTTGTTTTCTTTGTAGGCAGGTGGAAATACTGGTGGTATTTTTTGTTTTTGTTTTTCTCTTAACCACAGAGCCTATAAATTACTTCACTGGCTTAATTGGCCTTGTCTAATTAGCCATTACCTGACGTCTATATATATTTTTCTTTTTCAAATATTCGATTTTTTAAAAAGTGTGTTTTAGCAGGGCAGAGCTACAACTTGAATGCTTTGTTCTAGCTGACAGCACAGTGGCTGAAATGGTATAGGCTCATGGCAGGTCCTTGCTGGACTTGTAATCCAGAGAGTCATATTTTCTACTCTGGAAACTTGAGCAGCTCTCACTGGGTTCTCCGGCACTTGCCTGCCCAGTGCCAAGTGGGGTAAGCTGCCATGGAGGAGGGAAGGATGGAGTGATGGGGAATTCTTTCCCAGATATGCCACACAGTGTGGGAGGGCAGTGTAGTTGAGCTTTAGCTTTTATTATTTTCATTTTTAAAGCTCCTGCTCTCCTCAGCTCCTGTTTAGTAGTACAGAGGGCTGGCCAGATCTCAGCATGCCTCCATTTAAGGAGAACTGTCTTGTTCCCAGCACTGACTGGTGAGCATTCCCTTTTTGTAGGTAGCCACAAACCCTGGCTGTGACTAAATGGACTTTGGAAAATCAAACAGTAACTCGTGGCTGGTCCTAAAGGAGAAACTCAGCCCAGCATTCAGAATGCCGACAAGAGGAATGGGATAAGTCAAGGCCAGCCTGGGCTACATAATGAGTTCCAGAGCTACAGAGAGAGACCCTGGCTCAAACAAAACCAGTAGTCACTATAAAGCAAAAGAAATGAAGTCAGCTAATAAATAGACTCCCTCCCCTGCCCTGAGAATTTAAAACTGAAATGTGGAAGGAAGAAGCTGGTTACCAAGACTTTGTTGAGAAGCACCTTGAAATAAACATTTTCTAGCCTGTTCTGAGGTGTTATGGATGAGGAGAACATGGGAAGTTAGAGAATGCTGTTAATACTACTGCAGAGGAATCAGCTATTTGAACCAGTTGTGTAATGTGGAAAGAAATGGAAGATTGACTGCCTACTTGATGGATTAATAAAATAATTGAAGTAATTTTTGAGCTGTTGCTGTCTACAGTGAGTATGCTGGCCCAGGAGTATTGCTCTGAAAAACACTTAAGCCATTGGTTTTCAGCCAGCTGCGGCTTTGCCTACTAAAAAAATGTTTGGCAGTGTCTAGACTTAGGTTGGTTGTCACAGCTGGGGGTCAGGATGTTGCTGGTATTTTGTGGGTAAAGAGCAGAGAGAGAGATGCCACTACACTGCAGTGGCGGCGGCGGCGGCGGCAGAGGAGGAGGAGGATGACGATGAAGAGACTTACCTTGATAGACTGTCACGAATATGAGTTAGACTAATTGTTGTGTTGTAGTTGACATTTCACTGTTTTTCAGAGGCAAGGACTTTTGCTGGAGTGAAATGGAGGCCTCGGTGATACTGCCCATCCTGAAGAAAAAGCTGGCCTTCCTTTCAGGTAGGTATGTGTGCTGTCTCTGAAGTCTCCAGTGTAAGCTTTCCTCGCTTAGTTTAACAATGAGGCTCTCAAGTTTCTTTTATAAAGGTTTTGTTTTTAAGGCATATCTTTAATGGATTGCTGTGAACCATCACCAGTTCCTCATGACCCGGTTTTTATTCTGTTCTGTGATTTGACTGACTTGATCACTACACTAATGAAATCACGATTTCTCACTTCTGAAGTAAAAACTGAGTAATTAGTGATGACAGACTAGCGTCTCAACAGATGTTGCTGGAGTGACCAGTTCTGATTCCTTCTCTCTCCATCATTTCAGTCCTCCATCATTCTCAGGGAACCTTTCACTGTTCTGGGAGAGTCACAAAATGCCACTTCTGCTGTTCTCGTACTGACTTAAAGTTATTAACAAGAAGTGTGCATCCACTAAGGTGATTTCAGGTGAAGATGGAGGACCATCTGCTCCTCTGAGCGCTATGGTGTGGCTCATTCTGGCCAGTGACTTTGGAATCTGAATCATTGAATATGTCCAGAGAGATTGTAGACTCCATGGCTCTTGCAGTTTAGGGTTACTCAGACTATAGTATCTTTCTTTTTTTCTGCCCTATTTCCCTGAGCTCTTGTCACTGCCTTGATAATTGTGATTTCTTTTTTAAACCCAAATATCTGATGTGTCCTTGTAAGTTGACATGTTTTCCTGATGAAGATTGTAAAGTAGACAAAAGAAGAAGCTGAATTCTACTGGTGTTGTTACTCCTAATTTAATGTTTTTCTTTTTTAAGCTTGTGTTATCAATTGGCATTTTTATTGTCTCTGTGGTGTTCTAAGATGAATGATATTACTAGCATTTGTATTTGTAGCCTTGTGAATTTCATAATGCTTGTTCAATAATGTAAATTCTTACAACTGGAAGTGTTGAGCAGACTATAAGGATTGGTAAATTGGCAAGCACCTGTGTAATCCCAGCACTCAGAAGGCTGAGGCAGGAGGATCAAAAGCTTGAGGTCAATCTGTGCTATAGGAGATTCTGTCTCAAACAATAGCAAAAAAAAAAAAAAAAAAAAAAAAAACCACAAAAAAAAAAAAAAAACAAAAAAAAAAAAAAAAAAAAAAAAAAAAAAAAAAAACCCACAAATAAACAAATATACCAACTGCCTTGATGTGCTTTGGGTGTGCTTCTTCATATGGAAATTCGTGTCTTCCTACACTGTTGTCATTTGTGGATGCTAACTTTTTCTCTACACCAACAACATCTCTGTAACAGCATTTGTCTTGTGCATCATTTGATCCCATTCACCATAGCTATCATGAAGGACTTTGTTTCTCTTGGCTTCTGACTCTTCCACTTTTACACCAGCGGTTAGTCTCTTACCCCAGTAAAAGCTAAGGATGTGCAGTTGAGGGTAGTGTAGTCTTGAAGATTAAGCTTGACCCCTAAAGGAAAATTTCAAGTGGTTTAGATGTCACCTACAGTCTATGTGCCAACTCTTGTGCATTTAGTTTAAATGCATGGTGAAGCTTCTCAGTTTTGAAGAGCAAATGACAGTTCCCTTGCCCAAGCCAAGGCATGGTGCTATTCACTTTTAATCCCAGCATACTGGAAGGAGAGGCAAGTAGGTCTCTGTGAGTTCCAGGCCAGGTCCACATAGAGAATTCCAGGACAGTCAGGGCTACAGAGAGAGATCTGTCTGAACAAAGCAAAACAGAAAGTTCACTTGCCCACTTTTAAAATTTTATCTCTTGATCATTAGTAGTTAAAGCCAGTTATTGTCAAACTTTTTTAATTAATAAAGAAAAATATTTTCAAACCAACAGAATTACCCAAGGGTTACTATCATTTGGAAGTCACCTGTGTAATCCATTAAAAAAATAAAGCCTATATTCTAATTGACACAACTGATATTGAGTCACTGTGTATTAGGTGGAACCCTATGAAATTGCAGTTTATTGATGTTAGACAAAGTAGTTCAATATCAGCAGTTGCATAGAAAATAGCCCTTTATGGCCGGCATGCCATGAATCGCATTTCTGTCACTAATGGAAATCTTTTTCACCTCAGGCTTTCAGTGATGAATTGCTAGAGATTATACAGAATTATTTTCTTCAGGAGTTACTGTTTTTTATAAGCTTCTAAAACTATTGTAAATGTCCCTTGGTTCTGACAGTGTGAATCAAGCAGAATTTTGAAAGATGGTAATAGAAGTTCTAAAAGTTTGCTTGTTTCCTTTGCAGTGCTGGGAATTGAACTCAGTGCTTTTACTACACTGTGTCCACGGTCCTTACCTGTGTGAGGATCTCACTTTGTACTTCAGACTGGCATTGAACTTGCCATCTGTCTTCCTGCCTTTGCCTCTTGAGTGCTTAGATTGCAGGCGCATGCCATCAGGCTACCTTCAAAAGTTTCATTTTATACTTGGGGTAAACAGGACTAGGACTTAAACTGCTTACAATTTCAGTGTGCTCTACCTGCTGGCTTTCTGCTGTAACCCCAGGTCCTGCTCCACGATCTCAGCTGGACAGGGTTGTGTCTTTACTGCCATCTGAACAGTCTGCATCTGTCATGCTGTACACTGCAGTAACTGAGTATGCTATTTGCTGTTAGTCAATCTATCATGTAGGAGATGAGTCTTCCATTGCTTCCCATATTACACACAGATCCATGTCTCTTCTGTGAGTGAACTCAGGCCATCTGTCATCATGGGATGTTCTTTTAACTTGGTTTTAAAACTTCTACAAGTTTTCCCTTAAGTCTTTACTTTTCTTATACATACCACAGCTTTTTTTTTTTTTTTTTAAAATCCTTTCCTTTATCGTCTCAATCCCTTTTTATAGCATTTTAATGGATTTTATATGAAGACACAGTGTAGCAAATTAGTGACTGTAATTCATACTGTTATTATGACTTAAAGCTTTTCTTTCCAGATGCAAATTTGTTGCAAGCACTGATTGTACTAGGCACACAGGAAGTGTTTGATGAGTTGATTCAATTAGGCAGCAACCTAAATGGAGGAAAATTAAAATGATTTTGGCTTGGATGAAGATTTCATAGATGCATTTTCTTCTGAATTTTTATGGTTTTTTTGCCTTTACTATTATAAGCATTTATAAACTACAGATAGCCATTAGATATTTTGCAAACTGTGTCCTAAACTTGTAATTGTTTTAGTAACATTGGGTTAAAATGATATTCATATAATGTCTTAATATCTGGTAAATCTTAAATGTATCTTTTCTGTAGGAGGGAAGGACAGACGCAGTGGACTCATCTTGACAATTCCGTTATGCCTTGAACAGACAAACATGGATGAACTGAGTGTCACTTTGGACTATCTACTCAGCATTCCAAGGTGACTCTAAAGGTGTCTTTTTCTTCCATTTCAATATTGTTTCTATTGATTCTTGCTGCTGAAGTATCATGTATTTTCTCAGCAGTGAAATTGCTGTTAAAGACTAGAAGCAGAAGCTGATGGCAGTACACAGATAAAATGCTTTACTGTTCCATACACTTCATAGCACACAGATTTCTAAATGTGTATTTTCAACCTTTCAAGAACAGTTAGGTTAAGCATCTGCTTACCATGGGTCTTCAGAAAGACGATAAATTAGGGGCTGGGGAGAGGGCTCAGTGGCTAAGAGTGCTGCAAGATCTGAGTTCCAGTGCTCAGCGTAATCATAAGAACTTGGGCATAGCCCCTGTGAGTCCAACTATAACCTCATTACTGTGAATGGCAGAGACAGGAAATTTCTAGGGCTTGTGGCTGCCAGCCAAGTCCAGGCTCAGTTAGTGAGTGATAGAGCAGGACACCTGATGTCCCCCTCTGGCCTCCATGTGCACACAATATACACATCTGCATAAATGTTTACTGCCCCACACACACTTGGGGGAGAGAGAGAGAGAGAGAGAGAGAGAGAGAGAGAGAGAGAGAACACGAGGACTTATCTACATGAACTCATATTTGTTTTAGTTCACTATTTCACTAATTTGGTTATTGTCTCTAAAATGAATGAAGGCTGTTAGTCTTTAAATATTATTTTAAAAATACAAAAACATATACATAATTTAAGTTATAGGTCCCTGAGTTTTTAATTTTCATAGTTATTGAATAAAGAAACATCTTAAATATTCCTGTTTGCTTAGTCTACTTGTCACTTGAGAATCGAAAGCAGGTGCTGGAGAGACAGCTTGGGAGTTGCCGTCTTGCTGCTCTTCCCTGATTTCAGCTCCCAGCACCCACAGTAGGTGTCTTATAAACCCCTCTAACTCCAGGGGATCTGACTTCCTCTTCTGGTCTTCAAAGACAAGTGCCCCACATCTCCTGCTCTGCCACCCATAGCATGCACGGCTTGTCTGGTAGGTTCATGCCAATGCTGGCTCCACACCTCACCTGCCACTGCCCTTTGGTGGTTCTCCCATGGTTCTTGGATCTCCACTGCAGTAGAGGCTGCGCCTTTACCAGTGGCCTCTCTTGGCCTCTCACACTACTAAGCTTTAGCTTCTCTCTAGGACCCCTGTAGACCTGCAGCTTTCATGCAGATTCTAGCCCTGCTATTTGTCGAAGTGATCCAAAAGGGGCTTTTCTCTTCTCTTGTTATTTCTGTTTGTTTCTTCAGATTAGTAGAAATCAGCATAGCTGCAATTTCTGTGAAGTCTAGTTTAGAGGTTCAAATGAAATGTTTGGAGGTTCATAGGTAAAAGGCTGGTGCCATGGCTTAGTGCATAAAGGTGCCCGCTAGCAAGCCTCACTACCTGAGTTTGATACTCAGGGCCCATGTGGGGAAAGGAGAAACCAAGTCCTGCGGGATGTTTTCTGACTTTCACATGTGCTGTCACACATAAATAAACAAGTAAATAAAATGTATTAAAAATAGGCAAGGCAGGATTTCAAGTCCTGCATATTACTTTTCCATGAGTGAGCCTCCAACACTGGTATATGTCTTTGAGGCTGAGTTCCAAAAGATATATTCACCTGTGACAAGGCTGCTGTGACAAACCATAGACCTGTGCAGTCACACTGAGCACACTGGGAGGCCACCCTGCAAGAGTAGCTAAAGTTGAGTGACGGCACAGCCAGTCAACTCATGGCTTCTGACTAGTGGTCACTCAGGGGTGTGCACGTAAGTGGTCAGGTGGTGGAAAGCAAAACAGCTGAAAATTTAACCTGCTTAGTCTCTCTCTTGTCTCTCTTATGCATACATATTACAAATTTAGTGACGTGCTTTAAGGTAATTCTTCAGTTTTTACAAGTATTATTTAGTTCTTTTTAAGTTTTCTAAAGCTTATGCTCTTTCACTAATAATAAATAGATTTGTGTCTGTGAATATAGACACTAAAGAACTTTGTTTCCATCTTTCCACATTCTAAGATGTAAACTCTGGAGGGGAGTGGGTTATAATTAGCATTTTTCAAAGCTTTGTGCTGTGTAATATGACATCCTTACTCAGTGGTCAGCACCTGTTTCTGTCTTTGTCTTCCTGGTGGCTTTATTTCTTCAGAGCTGTGGGTACACCTATGTGGGCTTACATTTGTCAAAAAACTGAGTAAATGTAAAAGTTTCAAGCACAGTAATTGTTTGGAGCAGATTTGTGGTTGCTTTGACCCCTGTTTTAAAACTTTAATCATAGTAGACTCTATATTTGACCTGTGGGAGAGGATTGGGTGGTAGATATAGAAAGAATACCCCAGATAGTGTTCAACCATTTAATTCTCCTGCAGCTCTGAGAGGAGCTCTGGTCCCTCTCCCCCATCTTATGAGGGATCAAAAAGCATAGAAAGGGTTAGCATAGGCAGCTTGGCCAGAACCCTGTGGCCAACCAGAATTAGAGAGAGTTGGATCCCAGCAGGTGGGCTCCAGCTTACCAGTGTTCCACAGCTGCGGCTCTTCTCGCTACCTCTGTTAGGATCATAGTCATGTCTTCATAATTTCTGGTAAATTCTCATAAAACTTGGAACTGCCACAACTGATAATTGCCATGAAAATAACTGAGTACCATATTTTAAAAGAAATCCTGGGTTTCTTGTAAAAAAGACTTAGAAATTTTCTTTTAACAGTACATTTGGCAGTACTTAAACTAATGCTATTTTCTAGTTCAAAAAGAACTTACTGACTGTGGCAGAGGACATCAGGGTTAGAAGCCCCAGAACCTATCCTCTGGCTTCACACCCCAGGTCTTTCATGGAATGCCCTCCAGAAATTGCTCATGTCATTCCTGATAGAAACTCACAAATTACCTTGCTACATTTCTCAAATTTTGATAATTAAAAAAATCCAAGTTTTGATTTCTAAATCATTTTTTTTCTAGTTGTGCAAACACTAGTCCTGCAGAAGAAACCCCCAAAGGAAGGAGCTTCAGGGGGTAGTGCAAGGCACACAGACATTAAGGCTACAAGTCTCTGTTGCTTGGTGACTGTGTGAGAGTCTGTGGGGGTGTCTTGGTTTTATAGGAGTTGAGCAAGTAGGGAATAAAGCTGATTGGTGGCCAGCACTCCCAAGGACCAGGCACACCAATGTCAAAACACATACTCACATGTGAGACGTTCGAATGCTGAGAAAGCAGACATAAAACCTGAAGAGAGCCAGTGAGAGCATATAAAACAGTGAGGCAACGCTTTACCATGACAATGGAAATGAGTGTCTTTCCCTAAAATACCCGACCAAAGAACACTGCCACTGGCAAAGGCCCTGCGGCAGGAGTAGATTCAGCATTCCTGGGGGTACAGCAGCCAAGTAAGTGTGTCTGGTGCACTTTGGAATAGGAACACAGTGCTTGGATGCTGGTTGGAGAAGAGGCTGGGGTCCATGGAGACCATGATCTGGGCTTCATCTCAGCATAGAAATACTGCCATTATATTCTGACTCAGGCATTATCAGACATGTCCTCACACATTTTAAAAGGTCTACCAGGTGTTGGTCTAGGAGTTAACAGTCTTAGAAGATGAAGATTCTGGTATTCTGCAGACATGTTCTCTGATGAAGATGGATTCCACACACAGCATTATAATAAAAGCATGCTCAAGCCGGCACTGATATGTGTCAGCAGAACTTTGAGCAAAAGAAGAGTCCTTAGATAAAGTCAAGAAATAGTTACGAGCATCTGCATGGGCCCTAGACATCCCTCAAAAGACCTTCATGGGTCACAAGTGAGAGCATTTTGTTTCCATGTTTCTTTTACAGAGCTGTTTTACCAAACCTTGTTACCCTAAAGGCTCTGAGGAGTCGGTGGCTTGCAGTTTTGTTTTTTGTTTTTTTTGTCTTTATTGCATGGTATAGGAATCTTATTTATAGTACCCTAGACCTGTGGACATGCCCTTTGTAAAGCATGTGAAATACCACTGGTTGGCAGTTTTGAAATAGTATCTCTGGGTTGTGAATATTTTCATTTTCTCTCTTAGTGAAAATGTAAGAAAATTAAAATTAAGGATCTTTTTAAGTATGCTAGAAGATTTAGTGTTTTAGCCTTTAAGATCATTACAGATGGCATTTGCAAGCTTCATTACTTTCACAGTATTAACCTGCAGATTAATTTATAATATGCATTGGAATATAAATGTGTTATTTTTTTAAAAATCATATTTAACAAATGATTGTGTGACCTACATCTCAGTGTTATAGATGCTAGTAAGAAAGCACCAAGTGTTAGGAATGATATGTATCTTTGAGTGTCAGGTCCACACTGGAACCTGTTGTCTTGGGTCCATTTCTTGCAAACTTCTGTAACACGAGAAGTAAATGCCCCAGAGACTGATATTGGGGTTCAAACTTCAAGCTGAATATCAGAAAAGCAAAGCAGCTGGCTACTGGCTTCTTACCTCTACCTCAGGATGAATGGACTGATCCTGTCTCCATGAGCTCTCACCAAGCCTCAGACTTAACCTTTCTTCAGCATGGCTGGAGAATGAATGTCTCCTACTGACTACTTGCTCCTGTCTTTTATACCCCTCTAGTGCTGGGGTTAAAGGTGTGAGCTGTAATTCTCTTTTAGACTGATTCAGTCTCATGTGGATCTTGGTGGCCTTGGAGTCACAGAGATCCATCTATCTCTTAATCCTGAGTCCTAGGATTAAAGGTATGTACCACCACCTCCTAGCTTCTGACTGCTGGGATTAAAGGTGTGTATCACCACTGCCTGATCTCTATAGCTTGAGGCTGACTTTGCTTTTCCTCAGTCAAGCTTTAATAAATCATAAATAATATATGACTACAAACTTCTAAGCATTAGGAGTCCCTAAGTTCTTGCCTTTCTCCAGAGGTCACTTAGCATCCAGCTTCCCTGTCTTGGCCAACCTTTCTGGGTTTGTAGCTCTGTCTCTGTCTCGGTCTCTGTCTCTGTCTCTGTCTCTCTCTCTCTCTCTCTCTCTCTCTGTCTCTCTCTCTAATATACATATTATATATATAATATTATATATATATTAATGTATGTCTTGTTGGGACCTCTAGGAATTTCTTCTTTACTTGTACTGGGTGTCTTGTTTGTACCCCATCCCCTGCAAGTGTTTATATGCTATTGTAAGCCTAGGCACAAGCATGTATTGCATCCCTCTTCTGTCCCACAGAAATGTGCAGAAGATCCTTTTTCCCCCAATGTAGATACCAATATTGAATACTTAAAATTTTAAGACAAACCTCTGTAGGCAGAGATTCTTTCCCGACAGCCTGCTCCTACAGCCGTCTCAACCCCAAATAAGCACATAGAGACTTATATGAATTATAAAACTGTTGGTCAGTGGCTAGGGCTTCTTATTGGCTAGCTCTGTCTCTTCCTTCTTTGAGTTCTCACTGTTCCTCAAAAGAACTTTGCTTGTCTAGTTAGATATGTGCTAGAGTTAATGTACATTTAAATTAACCTTTGTGGCCAATGTGGGTGCTGGAGGTGCAGGGGGGGGAGGGGACAGGTAAGTGCCTTTGAAATCTCGTAGACTGCCAGATTGGAATCCCAGGGAAGTCTACCTATTTACCTTTCTGATAATGGGTATAATTGAAAGCACTCTGGGCCGGAATGCCTTCACTCCCACATTCTTGCTCTGATAAGCAAGGCTGAAGTTTCTTCCACTGTATTGAGAGAGGGCAGTTGAGGTCCTTGCATTAGTTTATAGGTATATAATAATAACAGTAGGAATAGCTATGTAGTTTTCTCTTTAGGGTGGAACTTTTCCGTGTAACAGCCATTATATTTAGTAAATATTTAAATAATTAAGTACAGTACAACACATTTTGCAATACTGAAGATAGCATTTTGCTGGCCAGATGACTAAGAAAGTCAAAACAGTCAGTCAGTTTGTAAAGCAAGTATGACCTCATTGTGTTAGATTTCCTGTACACAAAGAAGCCAGTCTCCAGTAGTTTAGTAATAGCTTATTATTTTCCACCTGTTTTAAGCGGTTTCCTAATAAATCCTAAATTCTGTTAAGAAGTGCATTAGGTGTGTGGCAGGTGGTAGTTACCTGGCTCTCTTTGATCCCATTATATAGATGGAGAAATTGTGAAGCCATTGGTACTGTTGGACTGGTAATTCAATTTCATCACTTTTTAAGACCTTAACTTACCATGTTTTTAGAGTATTTTCCTTCCAAATTAGTTTGTGATTAATTCTTCCAAAAATGAGAAAAATAATGTGAGGAAATGGAAAGAGTACTCTGGAGAATTTCATCAGTTGCTATCATGTCAGGCCAGGCAAGGTGATTTGTATCCCACCTGCTCTTAGAGCTTTTGCATTCTTCCATCAGGGTTATGGGGAGAGTGTGGACCCTGTTTAATGCTCATAATTGTGTTTTGTTTCAGTGAGAAATGTAAGGCCAGAGGATTTACTGTGATCGTGGATGGCAGGAAGTCCCAGTGGAATGTGGTGAAGACAGTAGTCTTAATGCTGCAGGTGATTCTTTTTCCTTTTGTCTGACAACCAGGAGATGCCTTTCATCTTACAGCAGGGTACCATGATGAAAAAAGCAAGTACACACTGTTTATCAGACCATGCACAGGCTTCTCAGCAGTGACTTAGTTCTGAAAAGAGATTTCATGTACTCTGATTATATTGCTTAAATTCAGCTTTTATATGTTTAAATCTATGTAGTAGAGTTGAGCCCCACCTTGCTGTACAGGCCTTAAAGGCTGAAAATAGTATGGCATGTTGAAGTAGACTGTGCAAGAGCACCTGTGGTTGTCATGTGTGAAGACTGAGAGCACAGGACTTACTGGGTATTCTGTGTGCTATACTTTCTGGGTTACACTCCCTCCCACGGACTCCTCCTTATTGGTTGGTTATACAGTAAGCACGGCTAGACCAGTCAAGTTTGAAAAGTTTTGCAGGTGAGCCTTATATGCTCATAGCTTCTTTAAAATAACAAAACAAACAAAAAACCCACAAAGAAACAACATTGAAAATTAAGGATTTGTGATGATCATACTAAGCATTTATAGTCCAGAAATTTATAGCTATGTCTTTAGGACATTAACACCTTGTAAATTCACATTTAATAAACGGTTACTAAGTCTGCAGAATGGGGGGTGGGGCATCTTGTCTGGTATTTCTTTGTGTCCCTCACATTGTTCTGTCAGTCTCTGGCATGTAGCAGAGACTCAGGAAACTGTTATCTGCTGTAAGGCTACTGAAAATATTGTCATGTGACATGGAAGCATCCAAAGGGATGGATTGTTCTTAGGCACCTGGTAGTCTTCCCTAGAAGTTTCCAGAAAAGGCAATATTTGAGCTACATAAAATAAGTTACCTAAATAAATGGAAGAAAATGAAAAGCCACTCTGGGCAGGGACTGTCAGTTAGTGGCACCCCCAAATGAAGCAAATTCAATGAAAGGAGTTGGTAGATTAATTTGGGGAAAATATAATTAATTAAGCAGGAACAGGTAGCATGCGTTTGGATCAGTGAGCATCAGTGGCTTATGGGGGCGGGTCAGTGAACATGAGCAGTGACTGGTTTTGGTTTAAATCCTCAATTAGGAGAGTCCTGTGTAATCTCTCATCTTTTACTTAGGATGGATGGATTGAAAGGATTTGAGGGGTGACAGCAAAGAGAGATAATTTTAGGTTTTAGCTTTAGTGTTAGAGCTTTGTGTGGCTCAAGTGCTGTATACATGATTTAAGTTCAGCCTCACAAAATTGGAAGTTGGCCCAGTCCAAGTGCTGGGCCTTGGCTTTTCCTACGTTTCTGAAGTGAGCCCAAATTATCTACCCATTGCTCCATTCTTTTTAAATGTTTTTTAAAAATCTGTATGGGTTTTGTACCTGCATGCATGTCTGTGTATCACATCTATGCCTGTGACCAAGGAAGCCAGAAGTAGGTGTCAGATTCCCTGGGACTAGAGCTGCAGACAGTTGTGAGCTGCCATGTGGGTGCTGGGAATTGAACCGAGGTCCTATGGAAGAGCAGCCAGTGCTCTTCACTACTGAACCAACACTCCAACCCCCAATTCTTCCTTCTTAAGGGTGTGACCTAAATGCTTCCTCATTAGGCTCTGTTTTGAGTTAAAGAGGTGTCCTCAGATGACCAGTTTCTAAGATTGGTGCCTTATAGCAACCTCTCAGCCAAATGTGTGGTAGCACCTTCCCTCCGAACCCCAGAGACTGGTTGACTTCCCTGAAGTTGCTAAATTCCACTCATGTGGGCAGTACATTGATGATGGCCGTGTGCTCATCCTTTCCTGGTGACACTCACCATCACAGGTGAACCCTCACGACCTGCTATGAGCTGCACTCTGATGTGTGGCAGTTCTGTAGAACAGTCGGTGGACTTAATCCCTGCTGTGATGTCTTCTTTCCTGATAGGTAATGTTTTAGACATTTGGACTGACTCATTTCTCACATTTTCAGAATTCCTTTGGACATTTTCTCCTAGTTAACTATTTACCCAGGAAGTGACTTACTGCTTTGATCTCAAGGCTGGGGCCAACTATTTGGAGCTCCCCCAGTTCCCCAAGAGCAGCTCTGTCTGTCACTGATGTTCTGAAAGAGGGGTCCTGTTTCTCTTGTACTGACAGCTTTCCTGTCCAGTGACTTTGAAATGCTGGTTTTCCATAGATCAGTAACTGAATAAACTGCACCCTAAACTTCCCAGTCTCTCTGATGAGTGATGGGGGAGGTACTTCTATGTATATGTTTGTCTTATTGGTTGATAAATAAAGCACTGTTGGCCAATAGGGAAGCAAGTTAGGTGGGACTAGGAGTTGAGGAGGATTCTGGGAAATGTAATAAAGAGAAGTCTTGTGATCTAGGCAGAAAGTGACATAGCAGGCTGACTCTGAATATAAGCAGGGACAAGCAGGAAATCACTCTCTTCCTCCTCCTCTCTTCGCTGGGAGCCGCCATGTGAGCCCCCGACAAGAGAGGACACATGCTGCCAGCATCTTCGATCAGATAAGTCTTTATAAAATATATAGATTAATAATTATGGTTGATGCTTAAGACAGAGCTAGCAAATAAGAAATCCTAGTCATTGGCCAGCAGCATTGTACCTTATATAAGTCTCTGTGTGTTACTTGGGACTTTAATGTGGCGGCAGGGCTCAGGCGGATTGGCGAAAAGATTTATCGTTACAAATGAGGGTTTGACACAGTTGAGTTTGTCTTGCTTACTTTAGCTACATCCTAGTCATTAGAAGAGTGAGCACCTGATTTCTGCTATGCCCATTGACATGCTGCTGTGGAAAGATCACTTTCCATCTCTTTCCTAAAAATTATAACTTGGTGTGGTCCTCAATAGTTTAGAGTAGTGGTTGGGCTCTTGGGTTTAAATAAATATTAGAAGCTATCTGTGCACATCATTTGCATCATTTGTATAAGCCATCTATGGCCTGTACTACACCATAGAATTGCATATTTGGAACAGAGATTCTCTGGCCCTCAAAGTCTAATATATTTTTCATCTGGACCTTTTAGAAGTAATATGTTGACCTGGTCTAGAGCATGTGAAACTGTGGTGAGACTGAGTCAGACACCCCTGGCTTCTGTTCTGGTTCATTGCCTCAAACTCTAAGCTACAGTTACCTGAGTGAGATGGCTTCTATATGCCAGACACTGAGAATGTAGAGTGACATTCATAGATAAGATTCCTGCCATTGGGATGCTCATGTGCCACTGAAGAGACAGGCAGTGAGCAGTTAAGAAAATTAATGAACAGCATTAACTGGTGATGAGAGTTGTGACAGATGTAGACACACAATCACACACACACACACACACACACACACACACACACAGATACACATACACAGATACATACAGAGAGATATACTTACACACACACACACACACACAAAGACACCCACACAGATACACTCACACACTGATACACTCACACACACAGATAACATACAGACAGATACTCTTACACACAGAGAGACACACACAGATCTACTCATACATTCACACCTACACACAGATACACACACACACACACACACACACACACACACAGATACACTCACACCTACACATACACAGATGTACTCACACACAGACACTTTTGCAGATACACACACAAGACACACAGAAACACACAGAGATGCATACACTGCATGTGCACATACACACTCTTACACAGAGATACACACACACACACACACACACACACACACACACACACACCCACACACACACCCACACACACACACACTCCAGATGGCAGGAAAAGCCTCTTTAAGGAGGGTGCTCTCAGTACAGAACACAGAATGAAGAAGATCCTGTGCAGAGGAAGGGACAAACGTGGGAGTGGCTCAGACTTGCTTCTGGGAGCTTTGAGCTCAGCACGATGGTAGAGGAATGATTTGAGGAGGAGGTGCACAGTCAGTCTGATTGAGCAGGAATTCAGCTTGGAACATATCAGTAGCTCTGGCAAGGCATTCTGACCCCAGACAGTGTTACACAGTGCAGCCTTTGCAGGGTATTTCAGGAAGTTAGTTTGGCACGTTGGCAGAACTGGTGATAAAATGATTAGATTGCAGATGTATTTCCAAGTTAGACTTCTGTGCATCTTTCTGATTAATGAGAAGTACTTACCAAGTTAATGTTAACTACCACTCTTGGTCATTTTAGAAAATGAGAAAAAGTGTTTTGTGAAAAGGTAGTTTTGTTCTCTTCTTCCAATTAATAATCACAAAGAATCCTGACTTTTTATGTGATGGCAGATAAGAAACTGAATTTGTGAGAAAATGGGTTTCTCATTTCTTGAAGAAATTCTTCTTGATGGTGGTATTAGAAAACATTTGCCACATATCATAGAAAAACAAGTTTTAATAGTTTCTTAGCTAAAATGTAAGTCTCATAGTTTAATCTAAACCATACTTTCAGCAGGGATACTGTGTATAACAAATGTAATTGACATGTATGGTCTGTTTGGAACTGCTGGAGAACTTTTCTAAATAGCTTGTCTTTCTTTATTGCCATTTAGGTTTTGAAGTTTGGGGAGTTTCTTCTGCTTTATTATTTGATTTCTTTTCCAAGTATTGTAGCATAATCACAAGTGTCTAGTAATTTGCACATTTAGTAAGTCATTTGCATGTGTAATTTGTACTTATTTTTCTGTGTTTTGCAGAATGTTGTTCCGGCTGAAGTATCCCTTGTATGTGTAGTGAAGCCAGATGAATTCTGGGATAAGAAAGTAACACATTTTTGTTTTTGGAAAGAAAAGGATAGACTTGGCTTTGAGGTAAATATAATCTTTATAAAAGGAGTTGTATTGTATTTTTGAAAATAGATTTGCTGATACTATTGTGTTTGCTCTGTTGTTGCTTGGAAGTGCTTACTTTGTGCCTTCTGTACCATAACTAGTATATACTCAGCACTCACACACTTGTTGGATGACTGTGTCTTTTTCATAAACTGTAAAAGCTTTATTTCCATTTCTATACTCTATATTAAGTCCTAGATAGCTAGAGCCTTTGTATGTAAAGTTTTCAGTGATTATGAAGAGGAAATGTAGCACGCACTAGGCTACTCTAAGAGTATATTGTCTGTGATACACCATGTTTATTTCCAGGGTTTTTCTTACGTGGAGTCAGCTATGTTAGTCCTTGATTCTTTATGTTTAGGTCACTCTTTCTCTTTGGCCACCTTCAAGATTTCATTTTGACTTTGGTTTTCAGCACTTTCCCATGTGTAGATCTTTCATTTGATATTTACTCTATTTGATAGTCTCTGTAGTTCTTTTATCTCTGGACTGTGTCATCCATTAATTTTTGAAAATTCTCAGACATTTTTATTTTAAATATCTCTGTACCCCTGCTTTCTGTATTTCCAAGATTTTTAACTATATCCAAGTTGGATGATTTGAATTTTCTCACTTTTCTTATGTGGTCTTCTGTTTTATTTTAAACCCTGTATCATCCCTTCATATTCCTTTTTTTTTTTTTTTTTTTTTAGTTCTGGGGATTGAACTTGGGTCTTGTGAATGGTGCACAAGCGCTCTGTTGTGGAGTTATGTTCCCAGCCCAGTTTGGGTGTATTCTTTCTTGGAGTTTTTTCAATTTTGATCCATTTTCAGGCTCTGTTTTTGGTTGTGCTGAGTTTGTTAACAAGACCCCTGGAAAGTTTCCTCATCTGTTGCCATGGCTATTCTGTGTAGCATCTCTATTTGATTCTTGCACACCCAGCTTTCCGTCCAGGTATTCACATTCATGGATTCAAATCGCATATGAAAATATTTGAAAAAGTTCTGGGGTCAGGAGATGGCTCCATTGTCAACATGTTTTCTGAGCAAGTATAAAAAGCCCAAGTGAAAAAGCCAGACACATGGCATATAATTGTAATCCCATTCCTGGGGCTGGCTAGTCAGCTAGCCTGGCCTACTTTGTGACGTTGATGCCAATGAGAGACCCTGTGTTTAAACAAAAAAAGAGGAAAATGGCACCTGAGATTTTGAGGAATGGCATCCAAGGTTGTCCTCTGGCTTCTGCTTATATTGGCATGTGCATTGGACAAACAGCCCGACAAACAAATACACAACAACAACAACAACCCAGACAAACACAAATATACACATAATTCTTTCTGTACTGAATATAGCCTTTGTGCCTAAATCATACACTTTGACAACTGTTTACCCACCATTTGTATTTTATTAGATATTATAGGTAATCTAAGAATATTGTGTGGGCTATAGGCAAATGTAGTAACACTGCTTAGAAAACTTGAATACATAGATTTTGGTACTTGGGGTAGTATCCAAAAATCCAGCTCCTTTAGGCCCTAATCAAGGAGCCTCTTTTTTGTCTATGGTGAACTCTTATCCGTCTGTGCCCATGAACTTTTTGGTCTCTGCATCATAGCTATTTGCATAGTCCCAGCTACCTGACACATCATTATTGTATTGTTTGATTTGAGTCTTGACTATGTTGTTTCTTGTCTGATTTTAAGATAGTAAAAATCAAAGTAAATAGCATTTGTGTCTACATATTAACCAAAGTATATTTGGGTTTTAGCAGGTAGGGAAAGTGTTGAGTTGCAGTAGCCACAGTTGATTTGGCTCTTGGCTTGTTTTATTATTTTCCCCAGTGTATGACAGGCTTCAGATTTCTCTGTAGTTCCTTTGGTTGGAGTGGTGCTCTTTCTAGCTTTCTATATACTAAGTAGAAACCATTTATTTCTCCCCACTTATTCTTGCAACCTTGCCATTGATAGATTTGACTGTTATGTGGACTTAGTGGAAAGATGTGGGCTAGTCAGAAGATGGCTAGTACAGAATATTCTCCTAACAGTTTGGGCAGGAAACCACATCCGAAGAAGCTGAGGCCAAGAAAGCCTGAATGCTGCAGTTGGCACCAGGGAGAGGGAGCACTTCAGACTCATAGTTCATAGGGACCTGCAGAAAATATTACTGTGTGATTCTTTTCCTTCTATAGAAGTGATCTATCTCCTATTCACTTTGCAGTGCCCTTTATTGTCCACCGAATGTTCCTTTCATTGCTAACCTCAGTATTTCTCTGTGTATCCATCCTGTCTGAAATCCATCCCACTTTTGTTCAGCTCCCTTTTCACTAACTGTGTGTTCAAGTTCCTGCTGCCCGTTGGCAGCATCTCACCAATGACAGATGTTGCTGGTCAGAGGACAACGTCTGTATGTTAATGACAAGACTAGAATTGGCGTTAATCCTATCCTCAGATAGAGAAGCTAAAAATGAGAACGCTGCCTCCACCCCTTTTTAATCTGTAAATGTTCCTGATAATAAAAGTATATTTATTCAAATCTGTGTTCTTCTCTGTTCTTATTACCTTTCTTGAAGTTTGCTGTGGTATGACCCAGACCAAAAGCTTCCTTTATGATCCTTTGCCAAGAACACCCCTGGCAATATTTCATCTTTTCAGATTTTATAGAAGTTTATTAGAACTTTGTGGAGAGTTGGAATGCTGTCATTCTGGAGTCTAATTACTTTGGGCTATCTTTAGCCCCCTGAATAGTTCACCTCTGTGTCTGATCTACTGTCATTTCAACTACAGGTAAACACCTTCAGAACATATTAACAGCAGACCACTAGCTTCTACCAACCTGAAAGCTAAGAACGTCATCAGATAACTTTTTGACAAAGGCCTTCAATCAATCACTTTCTTTCCTTCTGTATCTATAAAGTCCAAGTAACTGCTAATACATAGGCACACATTATTTGGGGCAGCCTGAATCTGTGCTTCAGGCTGTGGTCACTCATAGTCCAAGTACAGATCAGGATAAATTAATTTTTACTCTTTTGGAAGTGTTGTTAGCAGTGTTTTAGGTTTGGGAAATTCATTTTATTTATTCAGTTCAAGTGTTGCTTTGTTTTCATCTGCCAAGGTTTTCTTTGAGGACTGTTGCACGCACAGAAGGTTTTTGAATGGCGTCTGCTTCCTGGGAACGAATATGCAATTCTCCTGTTGCTGGTCACAGAGTTATGGGCTTTTCCATATGGGAAGCTTTTTAGCCTTCATTTCCTTTTTCTTTTTACACTTTGTTGTCATTCAGGACAGACCAGCTTTCATCTTTTGCATCTTGGACAGATGCAGCATTTCCCATCGTGAATGCATCACAGTGAGCATCCTGCAGTATACTGAACACACTGTTACCATCTTCAGCCTTTATTTCCAGAAATCAACACTTGGATTTCCACAGTCACATTCAAATTTGATTTTCTCCCCTGGGCTGCTCTCCTATCGATGTGTTCCTTTATAATGAGACTCAGTCATTGACCGTCATCTTTTTGTTAATAGTTGTGCCATTCAGTGTCTCAGTCTCTTAGTTCTACTGTATTTTTTCCCTGTCCTTGCTGGGGTGTTTGCAGAGTGAGAGACTCCCTCTCTTGGTATGTGCCTGCCATCGGTCCCTCTTGTGAAAGGTGCTGCCTTTGTTTACCTCCCTCTGCTGCTGGTTGCCAGCATAGTGACTTCCTCCTTGGTTTAGCCTGGAGACTATCCTTTAAGCTCTCAGATTTAAACCAGTCAAAGTTTCAGTCCAGTGTGTTTTTACTGACATCTTTAGTCACTGAAGATCTTTTCAGGCCCCTTTGTGCTGCTATAGTGGTCTCTGTCAGTGTTTAGTGACCTGGGTGAGATGGTGTTCTTATGCATACTTCATCAGTGTCCTGACTTTCTGGTTCCTTTCACTGAGAAATGGTGTTTGGATGTTATAGTCAGGGATGCTAGGAGTATATATTTCTACAGGATTTACTGAGAAAATGCTTCATTATTATTTTAGTACAGCCAGCTAATTTTAAATGGATAAAAAATTTTTTTCATATGATTTTAAGGAAAAGGTTTTCATTACCAATGGATTTTTAATATTGATAAAGTATTGAAATAGATTATCTGAGCTGCTAGTAGTTTTTAAAGTGTTGGTATCAGAATTTTTTGATAGATTTTTAAAGAAGATAACCCATAATTGATTGGATTGATTTGAAATATTGTTGCATTAAATAGATGATAATTTGCTATTATTTTAAAGCAGTGTTTGCATGTTTCACCTTAATTCTATCTCCTTATTTACCTTCAGAGACTTTAATAGTTTACTTAGTGTTTTTATCTTTTCCTTTGTAGGTTATTTTAGTGTCTGCCAATAAGTTGACTCGTTACATAGAGCCATGCCAGTTGACAGAAGACTTTGGTGGGAGCCTTACCTATGACCACATGGACTGGCTAAATAAGAGGCTGGTTGGTATATTAGTTTAAAAAAAGATAATCAAATGTCTTTACATATGAATATGCTTGAATAATTTTCTAATTTTAGTCAACTAAGATGTAGGTTGTTTTTGTAAAAATATAAAAGCACATGTGTGTGTGTGTGTGTGTGTGTGTGTGTGTGAGAGAGAGAGAGAGAGAGAGAGAGAGAGAGTAGTGTATTGTTTGGAGACCACACTCTGTAGTCAGGGTCACTTGGTTGAGTCCTGATGCTAGAAATTGGGTGTGTGACCTTCACTGATGTATTTAATTTCCCCATGTCTTAGTTTTCATATCGGCAAGACAGTAATAGTAGTATAGCATTAATACTATCCTGTGCAATTGTTAGCAAGACAAAATCAATATGGACATGGAAACATTTAGATCCACCCAGCAGGGTACAGTAGCACTCTGTGCTAGCTGCTGCCGTTGGATCAGGATTGGTAAGATTGCCCTTACCTGAGAGTGAGAGTAGCTCAATGTCATGAGAGGTGATCTCAATGACACAACCACTTCAGAAGACACTCCTTATGGGAGCTATCAGCCCACAGTGCAGCATGACAGACTAAGCTCGTCATTTCAGAAAGCTTCTGCTTGTCCAGATTTCTGAGAGAGACATGCTGCTCTGTGTCACACAGCATTGTTTTACTGAATTGTGGAAAGAATGGGCTCTACACTAGCTTCTTGAGATTGTGTGCTAATTTCAGGGAACTTTGGTTATCCCTGAATGAATAACCATTCCTGCCCTGTATCTTAACAGTGGCATGTCTGCCAGACAACTCTACTTTATTGCTAGCATTCAGATGTGCCCATACCCCTTCTCAAAAATACTTATGGAATCATGTGAAAATTATAAGTAATGTATCTTTATAATACATACTTGTCTGTAAAACTCTTGACTATTACATATGACCAGTATTGACTGTTGCTAGAGTAAGGTGACGAAATGGTCTGTAACTTGAATCGATGGCTACAACTGGTTTCAGTAACATTTGTGTAGTTATAAAATTTGTTACTGATGTTTTTCAAAGAAGGATAAGAATGGAAATAAGTTTAAATAAATTATATTATTCATTATATATGTTGTTTGTAAATTATAACAAAATTTAAAAATAAATAAAGTTTGAATAATTTAATGTATTTGAAAATGCTGTTGCCATTAAAACTCTTTATTACTTGAGATGTGGTTTTGTTCCAGGCTCTGTGCACTGTTGTGCTCTCTGGTGATTGAACTGCACCGTGTGACTTTCTGGGAAGGAAAAGAAATCCCACTGACTAATGCTGTTGCTGTTAACAGAAGTCCTTATTATGTATTGATTTTTGAGATTAATCATGTCATGTCTATACAATCTCCTGTTGCAGGTCTTTGAGAAGTTTACAAAGGAGTCCACATCATTGCTAGATGAACTTGCTCTGATAAACAATGGAAGTGATAAGGGGAGTGAGCAGGAGAAAGAAAGGTAAGTGGGGGTCGTCTGGTGAAGTTTGCCTGTGCTGCTGGCTCAAGTTAAGAGGACCATAATAAATACAGCTCTCCTCAGAACTGCCACACACAGCTTATGAGCATTTGCTTTGCACATATAACATTCATTTGACTTAGGCTGGCTTCTAAAAGCTACTTTCTGATGAGCCTGGCTGCATTCTTTTTTCCTTGCACTGGGAAGTATTGTGTCTCATATATAAGAATGTACTTTGAAAAGGAAGCCATTTTCTGCTCTTCTTGGTTTTGTCTTTTCCTGCAAACACCTGCAGCTTGAAATAAAATTCTTACAACTTAAATTCATCAGTACCAATATAGCATTCTTGTCTTGAAACATGATAGTTATAAGTTTAACGTAAGGAGTTTGTCAGTTTGTCATACTTGACATGTAGTTGAGTTGTATCATCAAGCTATAGCTTTACTACCTTACTGCTTTACCAGAGTGTTCATTACCCATTACAGCCTAACCAGTTTTCACTTGTTGGTTGGTAGACCAGGTGTCTTTCTACCTAAAGCTAAAGCACATTAAGATGCAAGTCACCCCTGAGCTTTTGATTGTCAGTGGTCACTAGAACTGCACTTTCTTCTTAGGGAGTTTGCAGAAATCAACAGGCATTTTCATCTAGCTCCTTTACGTCTGACCTTGAACCTACATTGGAACCTATGAATGTAAATATGGTCACATGGATTTAAGAGGAGGTTAATTTTACCAAATGTTGATTAAAATGAGTTCAGAATGTAAAAAACAAATAGTTAGAATTTCAGTCTAATTAAGGATACCATAAATAGTCACAAGTGTTAATGTCTTGTACATAGTCTTGTATGGTGTGGCTTCTCTAATGGAGGCACAGACAATGTCTTTTCATCCCAGAGAGAGCACCAATGACCCATTAGAGTCATAGTTTCACACATGTCTATCTTGGAACCAATAATTTTATTTAGGTTATTTAGGGGAGCATGGGTGACATGGTTCCTACAAGACAGTAGGCAACTTATAGGCAGCTGTATCACAAAGAAGAGATTCTCTGTCTATCAAGTGTCAGCCCCTTGTATATCCTGCAGGTGGAGAGATGCCTTTTTGGCTGTCTGACACACCTTCCTCCTCTCACAGGAGAATGTTAGTGGGGCAGTCTTATGACAGTCTCTTCATGGTAAAGGACAGCAATTGGCATCTCCTGCCTGGGGAACAGAGTTCCACAACACCATATAAAAATGTAAATGCATACATACATACATACATACATACATACATACATACATACATACATACATACATACGGCTAAGCATGTGTTTCATATATATCTGTCACACACACTTATTTCTCAGGAAAGATATGCACATGGAGAAAGTACCCATAGAAAATGAGTTGATGACAGAGTTTAATGCTGCATTCTATCCCTGCTGATGGCTGTGAGCCTGGCTTAAGGGCTCTGAGGAAGAACAGCATAAAGAAGCCTGTTTCACTCCTTCTTTAGACCTCCTCATGCTTTTAGGACAATAGCTCAGGGCCCCATTCCCATTCTCTACTAAAGCACTTTCAATGTTATAGAGAAAGACTTTGGGAATGCTGACTTGTGTGTCTACATAAAGTATTAATAAAATCTTGTGTCTGCCAGTCTCTTTGCACACTCAAATGCTTTTGTTTGTTTTTTTCAATACTCAGGTAATAGAATCCCATCCATCTCTTGCAAATTTTGATCAATCTTCATTGTGTTAGCCCTCAGGGAGCATCTTGGCTACCCGAGAGGTGAGGGCATGGACCAGTTAATAAATTACAGGGTTTAAGTTCAGCGGATAGCAGAATGGTCTTTGACTGTGATTTGCTGGCTCCTCTATCTTTCTTGAATTTTTCTCTTTCTCACATGTTTCAGAAAGTGAAGGCAGAAATCCAGCTGCCCAAGAAATAGGACTACTTGAAGGGAAGATATGAAGTGTAACTGATAGTACACCACACATGCATGCATATATGTATGTATGCTGGTAGTTTTTGCAGGTTGATTTTTGCCTCCTACTCCTTTGCTGAAGGTGTTTTAGCAGGTCTGAGACTTCTGGTTGTCTCTGTAGGGTGTTTTAGTTATATGATTGTGGATCCTGTCATCTTCATTAAGGGACTGTTTGACTTTTTCATTCCCTTTTTGTATCCTTTTATTTCTTTTCTGTCACTGTTCTAGCTAGGACTTCAGACACTGTTTCAATTAGGAATGGAGAGAGTGGAAACTCTTGTCTCCTTGTGTCTGTAGCGGTTTCTGTCCTGATGTCTGCGTGTTCTATATATTACACTTACTTAATTATGTATGTTGAACCATTCTTATATTTGCTATGAAGCCAGCCTAACTTGGCAGTTAAGTATATAATCTTCTTAATGTGTTGTTGAATTTGGTTTGCAAATATTATATCAAAGATTTTATGCATTTATTTTCATTCAGGGAAATTGTTCTCTTTTTGCTGTGTTCCTCTTTGGTTTTGGCTTCATAAGATGAGTTTGATAGTAATCACTTCCTAAGTTAAGAGCAATTTGAGGAACATTGTGTTGGTTCTTTAATGATCTGGTAGAAGTTAGCATTGATCCTTCTGGAATACATGTATTATGTGAAAAACAATTTCTGAAGTGGATTCATGGGAATATTATAGCATTTAAAAGTGATTCTTTTGATGCCTTCCAGGTCTGTGGATTTAAACTTCCTTCCGTCTGTTGATCCTGAGACAGTTCTTCAGACAGGTAAAGTGAAAAGCAAAACAACATTTATTGTTGATAATAATAATAATCTAGTAAAGAGTCTTAGTCTCTTTAACATTTATTCAGCATGTATGTGGTATTTAAAGGGAAGTTTTCAAACTGCTTTAGGATTAATCTGGTGGTATTGGTATAATATTTAAAAATTAGTAATGACAAATTATCTCCTAGAAATACTGGATTTATTTCCTGTTTTATAAAACGGATTTTGCAAAGTGTATTTAATTCTACCTCATTTGGTTGTTATGAGGATTATTGAATACTTGCTATGTGCTGTGTTCTCTCAACAGTGTTGGAGAAAATTAGTATTTTGTCTCTTTTATACTTCAAGAACTCAAGGCTTAGAGATTAAAAAAATAACCTAAGTAAATAAGTGGTTCAGAGTCAATAAGAAAATGTATCACCACAGCTCAAAGCAAGTCCAAGTACAGAGGCACCATTTACAGCAGTTTGTAATCATCTGTGTGAAACACTAAGCCCTTGGCAAGTGGCTGTGTGCATTGATGCCCCATGCTTCATGCTGTATGTGTGCTAGCCCCATGTCTGCAGTAGAGACCCCTCAATTCTAGCAGAATGAATTGGAATTCTTTTAATGAAATACTGTAGCTTTGTTTCTAATCTTCTCAAAAACTACTAGCTCATACTTCTAGTCTTACTGGGTTCCAGGCACAGATGTAAGTACTCTATGTGTTGTTTATCCTTCAGCACAGTCCATGAGGTAGGTCTTGTTACTACATCATTTTAAGAGGGGTGAAACGGTTACTCTGGGCCAGGTGGCACAGTTCCTAGGAGGCAGGGTCGGGAAGATAACAAGTTCAAGGCCTGCCTGATCCAGAGTGAGTTAAATGAAAGCTTGAGGGAGTCCTGGAGAACTCATTCTCAGAATCAAGAATGTAAAGAAGGACTGCAGATTTGGCCCAGGAGTGGCATACTTTCCTAGCAGCCATGGGGCTTCAGTTCATTCCTTTGTGGGCAGTTACTTATGCATGTATATAGCCAATTAAATCTATAGTCAGAACCTACACCCAGGCTGTGAGGTGCAAGATTGTTCTCTGAAATAACTGCCCTAAGTGTTCTCTGGTAGAAATGCTAAGATCACAGTTGTCAGGGTAGGGGAAAAAATGGGGTATTCTGATACTAAAGATATATATGGAGCCCATACAAACATCCATAGATGTTTTAAGTATTTGCACAGATTTTTTAAAACAAGTGTTTTTCTAATTATAAAATGCTAGGAATAACTTTTTAAAATCTGAATGGGTTTGATATATTTATTCTGCTGTATTTCAGTTTTCAATATGATACACATTTTAGTTCCTTAGGGAGTAAATGAATATTAACAATCCATAGATTATGTTTAGAAATTACAGTAGTCAGTAAAAGTACTATTTTATATGAATACTTAATTCCATGAATTACTTAACAATTTTGAAAGCATCGTATTTTAAGCCACAAATTTAAAGACATTTTAAATATTTATATATGTGTACTAAGTTTTGTTTTATATGCTATATATACTAAAAGAAGGCATTGGAAGTATATAATGGAGATTTAGAACAACCTATTTTTTTTTCCGAATTGGTCATATTTGAAAGGTATAATAAAAATGCTTTCTGTACTTTAAAAGCTATTTAAATTTAGGATACTTCTAAAAAAAAAGGAGAAGAAAATTTATAATGCCTATGTATTTTTGATACCCGTGTAATAATTAGAATAGTTTTATCCTGGGCAAGCAATCTCTTTATTTTTAAAATTGTGAATGTGCTTATAGCTTGTTATGTGTTCTCCTTTGTCAGTTTCTCATGTGTGAGAAGATTTCTGAGTGAGCTTACTACACATAATTCTTCCACTACTATGGCATATTCACTCATCAGTCATTATGTTGTAGACATTCTGTAGAGATTGTTTCAGTATTATTTTGGTCATAAAACTTTTCTCCAATTACTTTGATAATGTGTTTGCTTCACAGCAACTTTTATCTTAAGTGCTGTGCTTGAGAGCAGGGTGCTGAAACCCTTTCACACATTTCCTCAGTTACTAACAGAAATTCCAGAGTATAATTTTACCCCACAGAGAAAGATGATTTATGGACACAATATCTTGAGTAATTATTCCACCAAGAATCCAATAAATATAGATTACCACTATATTCTACATTGACTATGGCGTAGAGGGTATAAATAGTGACACAGTTGGCCATTTGTTTCAATATTTTTCTAGTATATATAAAATGATTATGTTCTCATCTGTATGCACATAAGCAGTTTTCCTACTCAATGTGATATATAAAGTTTTAACTTACATTTCATTCTTTATGAGAAGGCAAAGGAATACGTTTTAAAGCAGGGACTAGAATGTACAAGTGACATGAAGGGATTGTATTTTTTGTGGGCATTAATTACAAGTATCTTTCGTTTGTAAAGGGCATGAGTTGTTATCTGAATTACAGCAGCGTCGATTTAACGGCTCTGATGGAGGAGTCTCGTGGTCTCCTATGGATGATGAGCTGCTCGCACAGCCACAGGTTATGAAGTTGTTAGATTCACTCCGGGAGCAGTACACACGCTACCAGGAAGTCTGCAGACAGCGCAGTAAGCGCACACAGTTAGAGGAAATTCAGCAGAAAGTGATGCAGGTGGGTGTCAGGCTGGGGTGCCTCATCCTTGAGAATTCCAAGTGTCTTTGCCTGATAATATCTGCTATGTAACTGACTACATAGAGAACTTTACAGATTTCAGACTGAATTCATATCATCATAGAGAGCATTTGCAGTAAAGTTATGTTATTTCTGCAGTAGTGGGATTGATTGTTGAGCTTATTAACAGAATGAACTTCAGAAACAGCTGGTTTGAAACATACATGATCTCTATCTTCATTTAATGCATAACACTTGAACCTGGTTGTTTGATTCATTCTTAATTTCTTAAACTTTCTAGACTGTTTACTGTCACTGTAAAGCAAAATAATACACATGATATGGGTAATTCAAATGTTAGATTTATTCTTTATGTTAGCGAAGTGTTAAATCCACTTAATTATTAATTTTAGTTGCTTTTAGAATTTGTTTTCATCAACAAATTTGGCTGAAAGTACCAAAAACAAAAATGCTGGACATTTCTATTCTTTAGATTATGGTGGATTCTTATCTAGTGAACAATTAAGAAAATAAATTTTTAAATGATTTTACTTAGAGATAGGAGCTGGAGCAACTGGAAGAGCTGGCTCAGCAGTAAGAGTGCAATTCTTTTGCAGAGGACCTTGCATTTAGTCCCCAGTACCCACTTCAGAGGGGCTCACAGTTACTTATAATTCCAGTTCCAGGAAATCTGATGCTGTGTGCTTTTCTGTCCTCCAACGGTATCTGTGTTTACATGTTCATGTAATTGAAAATAAAAAAAAAACCTCTAAAAACAAGTAAATAAATATAAGTACACACAGCCTGGAATGCTGCAGTGTTGTTTTTAAATCTACATTCATTGATTCTTTAGGTAAATATTAAGTGCTTCCTACATGTCAGGCATGGTGCTAGACTTTCTACAGGTTATAAAAGTAGATTTGGGTTTGTTGATAAACTTGAGAAAAAGACAGAACCAGAGGGCTCTAGGCATTTGCAGAGGGATCTTTTCTGTGGCTGCTATATAGTCTGGGAAGGTCTAGTGGGAAGAAGTAGCAGTTGACTTTATTCTCTTGGAACGTGGACTATTTTTCACTGCACAGAAGAAAAGTTTACAGGAGACTTGGCATTTTGTGGTGTTTAGAGAATAGCATGATGAGGAAGTGAGAATTTGGGGTCTTGGGTTGTACTAGTTCTACAGAGCATCTTCTTATCAACTGAAGCATGTACTGCTTCTGGAAGGCTAGTGTTTGGAGAGAACCCAGCACTCTAATGGTAATGTATATTTACTAAAGTAGACTTTACAAAGGAGAGGCCAGCCTCAGTGTGGTCCAGGACAGCAGTGTCACTCAGAATTGGTTTCATATCCAATAGGTAATAGTTTGGACACTTCTTGGAATATGTGGCCCAAGGTAATTTATCCAATGTGGCACAGAGAAGCCAAAATGTTGGATGCCCCTGATAGAAACCCTTAACTGACTTTCTCTGAAAAACTAAATATTTAGGCTTTATGGATCACATAGTGTTTTAGTTACAACTACTTAGCCTTCCTTTGTGGTATAAGGAATACATAAGTATAGTATTTGTGCATGAATGAATATGGCCTATTTCCAGTAAAACTTTATTTTCAAGGCAAGGGATGGGCCAGATTTGGCATGCAGGTTGAAGCTTGCTGACCTCTGACTAATCAGTAAGATGTCCTAGAAAGAAAGATGTGAAAGAACTATGTTGAATTCCAGGCAGAATACGGAGGCTTTTATTACTTTAATCACATGTAAACTAAAGATGTCAGGGCATATGTTTAATTGTGACTATTTCTATGTACTCACTAGTGAGTTAAGACAGCCTGCATTAAGCCCAAGTGAGCGTTAGCTTTTATGTTGGAATTATCTTTAACAACCACAGAGTTGAAATGGCACAATGGTGGGGACAAGACTCAGATTCTGAACCCAGGTGGTCTGGATCTGATCTTTTCTTATTCTGAGCTGGTTGGCCTTGGAAGACTGTTCTATGCCCTAGTTTCTTCCTTCACAAACAGAACAATTATAGCAGTAAAGACAGTGACACACCTATTTACTGAGACTTTAAAATGAAGATTTAAAGTGATGATGTTAACAAGTTCTAGCTTTGGGGTTTATGCATAGAGATAAGATTCATCACCGTGTATCCTTTGTTACATAGATAAGATAAAACAATAAGATCAAAGAAGTTAATGTATTGACTAATGCATTTTTAAAATGCTCAATTAAGAGATTAGAGAAGGGAGGTGGTGGTGGTGGTGATGATGATGATTGTAGTGATTGTGATGATGTTTATAATGATGGTGATAAGGATGCTGATAATGATATTTATAATGACTGATGATAGTTAACAGGTCATTGTTAAGAACAGATAAATTTGATTGTAGCTTGGCTTTTTTTTTTTTTTTTTCCTTTTCTTTTAAAGACCAAGCCTTGAGCTCATGATTCTCTTGCCTCAAGCCTCAGATTCCTGAATGGTGGAATTTTAGGCATGTGTGGCCACACCCAGCTGTTTTCTTCATGAAGCTTGTAAATATGTGGTAGCACCACTGCTCAGCTTGCAGCCTTCCCACAGACCACAACTTAAAGAAAGATCTAGTTCCCTTGCCAAAATGATTGTTTAAATGTGACTATAGTAACATGTGAATGATACGCTGAACACATGGCATATACCATAGAGTCTTACAGATCTGGGGAAATCCATTTATATAAAGCTAATCGGAAAGCTGCACATCTGTTTATGTTAAATCAGTGAAAATGAAATTGTCCACATAACTGTACTGTCACATCGTTGAGAACATGACACATGAGCAATCAGTAGTGCTGTAGCTAAATAGTAACATGATAATCTTTGATAGCTCTGATAAACTGTGTGCTAAGTAGTCCTGTGATAATTTTCAGTCACAGTTCAGATCGGCAGTGTCAGACTTCATGAGGGATGCAAACATTCCCCATGCTGCTTCTGTGAAGTTAAAAATTAGGTCTCATTTACTCCTGGGTAGGTGATAGTGTCACTTCACTCAAGAGTGCTAGGGTCTTTCCCATTACTTACTGTGGCAGTATTTCTGCCAGCGCTGCAGGCGTTATTTTTGGAACATTCCATGCACTTTTCCTCCATTCTAGAGAGAGACCATAGATCAAAGTAGGATGCACTCTCAGTTGCATAAGTGTGCATCTGGAGGCTGTGTTCTCAGTCCCTGTGCCCCTCCTGCAGTCAGGTGCTTGGCATGCCCTCCTGCTGGGGTTGACCTTGTGTGTGTCCTGATATTCCCTCATGCAGTCCAGCTATGAAAAAAATAGTGGATTGTCATAGACACTTTTGGCCTGTGCAAATATTTGTCCTCATAGGTTTTAAGGACATATCTCCAAGGTTATACTTTGCATTTAAATGTATTAATAACTGTTTAAAGGGTCATATTGTTATGGATTGTACACAGAACTGTTTTTGGAGTAAGTTAACATTCATATTTGACTGAGTAAAGTGTGAATGAAAATTTTATGGCACCATTTGGCAAGTTACCATCATTGTTGCATATAAATGGACTTGTTTCCTTGGCATTGACCTCAATTTGAATAATTTTATTAGAAATAGTCATACAGTTACTGCATATACACTATGGTGTTGCATCCTGAGGAAGATCAGTTTCTGTGTGCATTAAAGCTGTATGTGTTGTTGGTAATGTAACTGGGTTTCTGTGTCAATGAGATGTTTCTATAAGAAATTCATATTTAGGTTTATAACATCTCTACAGTTCTATATTCTTACTCGCTTTTATGTGCTATACTAATACAGCAGGTGAACTAATAATGAAGAACAAAGGCTTGCTTTTTATAGATATACAGCAGGGAAATCCAGGGTCAAGAGATGTGTGTCTGTTTGGGGTCTTCATGCTGTGTAAAAGGCAAAAGGGCAAGAGTTTGAACCAGAAAGGAGGGGGGGGCAACACAGGAACACATGAGGTCAAGTTAATCAGCAAGAGAAGGGGCTAGCAGCACCTAGTGTGAGTGAATTTTGCCTCTGCTTCCACTCCTTGAAAGACGTGATTCTTCACCTTAAATATGGTGTTCAGGGCTGCTGTGGGGGCTGTGCCAGTCACTATGTAAGCCTTGCTGTGGTGGATGGGGGCTGTGCCAGTCACTATGATGTAAGCCTTGCTGTGGTGGATGGGGGCTGTGCCAGTCACTATGGAAGCCTTGCTGTGGTGGATGGGGGCTATGCCAGTCACTATGGAAGCCTTGCTGTGGTGGATCGCGTTTGTCACTCTCTGCCTCCTTGCTTTCCCACTTCCCTGCAGTCTGGCTCCTTCTGTCCTCTCAGGCTTTTTGGTTTGTCTCTCATCTGCATTTCCCATAAGGTTAATAGGTTTCTTCAGAAAGTGTCTGTCTTAACTGTTGTATCTAACACTAAAATATGGAACAGTAATGAGTGTCTTACGTTCACTGACTGGCATGTCCTGAAAGAGGCCCTGCACACTCTCTTCAAGGTAGGAAACAAAATCTTTCAACTAGTAGAAACAGAGCCGGAATTCAGACTCACACCTTCCCGTGTTTCCTTTGTGAAAGTGATGCTGGCTAGTGAAGTGAAGCAGGGCCTAGAACCCTGCTCCTGCAGAGACAGCTCAGGTGAAAGATTGAAAAGGAAACAGTGAGGATGTTGAGGAACAGACCTTTTTATATTCTGAAGAGCACCTGCCAGTAGGGTTCACGATGAACTTGACAACAGAGTTCAGCCGAAAGATTATTCCAGTGACTCAGCAGTAATGCTGTTTCATCTTTGAGCTTTGCATACTAGTGTTGAACTTCAAAGTAGAAGTTAATATATGAAGGCAGTAGAATATGAGATAAAAACACAAAGAGGAATCACAGAAGATTCCAAACCTGCAGTAATCAGAAATTTGCATTGTATTCAATCCCACTAATAAGTGTATGGAGAGATTTCTTTTCTAGTTGGTGGGAATTTTTCCACAACAGTAATATGTATATCTGGCAAATAGCTATGTTATTGGAAAATACATTTAAAACTGATGATCAGGTGTTTCAGATAGAAGCAAGTATTTTACAGACTTGTTTTATAGTATATACCATTAGCCATTAGCATTTCATCATTGAACAAGAAAGGCCCAGTATGCATTTTTTCCAAGGAAGTAAAAGAAAATTAGAGAAAATGTATCTATGACTGCTGTATATTTTTCCTCATATAATCACTTAATATTGACAGTAAATTTCATTGTATGATCACTTAACCATGCAACAGCAGGGTCTTAAACACAAATGTGAAGTGGTATATCTTAGGGATAGTGGGTTGCTGGATGGGTTGATTGATTGGGCAGTTGGAAAGAGGCAGGCAAAGAGGTGGCTTGCTTAAAATGGGGGTTTGTAAACTCATTGAAAATTATAGTAGTTGCTACATGGAAAATTTACCACAGTATTATAGTTTAGTACTAGGTGAAAACCACAGGATAGAAATCACTTGGATCTTGAATCTTAAAGAGTTGGCTAAAGCAAATACATCTAGAATGATACAGAAAAACTGCTTTGAAAATAAACAGAAGGAAATGCACATGATTTCCTTGTGTATGTTTATATAATTATAAAAAAGTGCGTGTCAACCCTGTGTTAGCAGAATTACACTATGGGAAACAAGGCACTCTTCACTGTTATGAGGCCATCCCAGCAAGTGATGGTGGCATCTACTCTCACTTTGGGAGAACTGCCCTAAGTTTATATTTAGGCGTCACTGTCCATCTAGTCTTGGATCCCCTGTTCTAACTTAGCTTAGACAGGTAAAGCTTGGTGGTATTCTTCCTGCTTAGCTCTGTTAGAATTCCTTAACATGGGAGCATGGTTTTTGTTGTTTCCCCAGCACTGGACAATGACTGGAATGTAACCAGCATTTCTTGGTAATGTCCTTCTACTAAAACACCCAGGGTCTGGTCTGAACTGTTAATATCTGATGGAAGTTACAACTTTGGGTATCATTGAATTCAGTGATTCTTGATGGAGACAACCCTGTGGGATGTGGACTTTTGATACTAGAATGACTCTTATATCTACCCCATATGGTTCTTAGCTCCTTACACCTACTGCTGGGACTGCGTAGATGAACACGGGGGCCTGTCATCCTGGCAAACTACAGACCCCCCCACCCACCCACAAAGTCCTTTTGAGCAGAGTTTGTGGGATTTCTCCCAAGAAGTTTATCCTCTGAAGACACTTAGAGAGTATTCAAGTAGACTAAGTCTGCAGTTTGTTACTAAATTAAGAAAGTAGTATTTTAACTTTGTTGATTAACTCTCTTCCTAGGGCTTTGGCAAAAACATTCCACCGAGTCATGACATGTGTCCTTTGTCCTGGTTATTTAGTAATATATTGTTCCCTTGGACAAGCTACTTCTGAAACTCAACTGTCTTTTTTTTTTTTTTTTTTTCCCCATTTTTCGATACAGCTTTTTCTGTGGCTTTTGAGGCTGTCCTGGAACTAGCTCTTGTAGACCAGGCTGTTCTCAAACTCACAGAGATCCACCTGCCTCTGCCTCCCAAGTGCTGGGATTAAAGGTGTGTGCCACCACTGCCTGGCTCTGAAACTCAACTTTCTGAAGTGCTAGCTAAAACCTTTGACTAATGTCATTCTTGATATCCTCCCAATTTTTAAGTCCTGTTGTTCCAACTCTCTTACTGTAAGTAAAAGTTTAACTTCTTTAATAGAAGCACTCTGTGTTGCTTTTTCCCCCCCAGATAGCTGAAAGCGAAGTGCTAGCTTCAGTGTTCATTCTTCCAAATGCAGGTTTTTGGAAGCAATGTCTTAGTATAAATACATAATTCCAAATGAAACATTTACTGCCAGTGATATGCAATAAAATTTAAATAATTTAAGTTATAAACATTTGAGGAATTCAGGGCTTTTCAGGAGGAAAAACTAGTCAGAATGCAAATTTGAAGACCTTTGATTATTTTATTCATCTCACCTTTTGTTTGCAGGTTGTGAACTGGCTTGAAGGGCCTGGATCTGAACAACTGAGAGCACAGTGGGGGATTGGTGATTCCATCAGGGCCTCCCAGGCCCTGCAACAAAAGCATGAGGAGATCGAGAGCCAGCACAGTGTGAGCAGCTTTCCCTCTGCAAGTCACAGTGTGGTCTTCTGTGGGTGTCACTAGTACCTGAGTGGGACTGAGTGCTGCGTGTGTTGAGTGCGTAGAGGTCTGAAAGTACACTTGGAGACTTAGCATGTAATCAGTGATAATTTGGTCTGGATTCCCATACAGTTCCATTATTTTGTCCTAGAAGCACAATTTGGATGACATTTACAATGTCAGGAAAAAAGTGACCTAAAAATACAGAGTCTTTTTCAGTAGTTCTGTGACAAAAACTGGGTTTAGTTGTTGTTTAAGCAGGTATCAATCATATAAAATAGTGGGTTTCGTTGTAACATTTTTATACGTGTATATAAAATACTCTGATCATATTCACTGCCCTTTACAACCCTCAGTTGTCCCCCCATCCCATTTCCCCTTGATCCCTTTTCTTTTCCAAGTGACACTTCTTTTCTGTAGTCCTTGGAGAGAAGGGCCTTCCCTGCTCTACTGGGAATATGCTACACAATTAAATGCTGCCACTGTGTTAAACACAGCCGTGGAGCTGAGGGACGTGGCAGACAGAACATCTGTCCAGTCTCTATTGATTTAAAGGTTTACTTTTGTAACTGTGAAGGTGACAATCAGAAAGTCAGATATACATTGGGTAATCAGTTAATCCCTAAACTAGTTAATAGATAATGATGGTTCAAAAGAATTTAAATTGTAAAACTTGATGGGTAGGGAGGTCACTATTACTTAGCTTCTGCTGTGGCCTAGTCAGCCTGCCCTCAATGAGGAAGGCATACCTCCCCTCACTACCCTCAGGCTGTGTTACTTATGTTGATTTTAAATGGTCTGAATACAAAATTGGAAAAATTAACATTGACTGCTAATTTGCATCTCCTTAGAATATCTTCAAAAACTGGCCAGCAATAATAATGTTAAACTTACACTCATGAGAAACTTACACATGAAATCCTATAATTGAAAATATGTATGTTTTAATACAGTGCACAGTTTCCAACATGGAGCTCTCTTTTTTGGTTAAACATGATTTATATTTAGCATATAAGCCCTGCTCCTGTGGTTATAATCTTTTTAATTCTCTTGGTCCTTTTTAAATGATATAATGTTGATGAGTTGGTTTGGGGTTTTGTTTTATTTTTTGGTAGGGATTTGGTTTGTTAGAACTGTGTGGATTATTCTGGAGTAAATTATTATAGTATAACTGGATTCTAAACTTTGTTCCCCTATTTAGTTTTGTTTTTTTGTTTGTTTGTTTATTTTTTTATTTATTTTTTTGTTTTTTTTGTTTTGTTTTGTTTTCTGAGATAGGGTTTCTCTGTGGCTTTGGAGGCTGTCCTGGAACTAGCTCTTGTAGACCAGGCTGGTCTCGAACTCACAGAGATCCACCTGCCTCTGCCACCCAAGTGCTGGGATTAAAGGCGTGTGCCACCAATGCCTGGCTGCCCTATTTAGTTCTTGAAAACAGTATTTGTCACAGAGCATTCTAGACTTCCTCTGAGGCCACTTAATTATGTAAGTCTTTTAGTGAGGGTTTGTGACATGAGCCTAAAGTAAGTGTTTGTGTTTTGACATTTTAAAAAGAATCCAAGGAAACACTTGTAGGTAGAAAATGGATTATACACATATCATATATAAGCTCACACTGGATTAAAAAGCACATTTTATGTATCATGCACTAAGGATAAATGTGCAGGTTACATATAATAGGCATGCTTGTGTGACATTGTCTTTACAAGGTTATTAAGTCACTTTAAAGAAGCAGTGTACTTTTGCATGTTGAAATGTATGTAGAATTTTTAAAGTGGAAAGGACCACCAGCTAGTGTGGAGCTATCCAAGTGTACATTCTTCAGATGCTACCGTAGTGTTTTCTAGATGCAGACTCTGTTGACTGACTTGCTTGAACAGCCTCCAGATTGACCTCTGAGGGCCCATATGGGGCCCTTTCTAGTTCTTCCTAGTATTTAGGGCTTTGTGTAGGTAAACTGACATCTTCATTCATGGTCTTCAAGAAAAGAAACACTTGTGGGCCATCATAGATTCATTTCTTTAAGTCATGTGTGGTATTTGGGATTCATTATAAAACTGGTAGGTATGGAAAGAGTGGATGGGAGTCTGAAGGAAATAGAGTCAGCCACAAATTGATAACTGCTAAAGCTTGGTAGACATGGATTCTCATTATTTTGTTCTGTTGCACATTCATTAGATTTGAAATTTTCCATTGCAGGGTTTAGAAGGAGGATTGCATTATTTTAGCCAATAGGTGGCGCTGCACTGTCGACTTGTGAAAAACTTGGTTGATAATTAATGTGCTAGCTTATGATATTTAATGTTCTAATATTTAGTATTTTATTCAAAACTTCCCAAACTGGGTGTGGTATATACCGCATACCTGTACCCGAGCAGAGGGTAAAGAATTGCCACAAGTTTGAGGCCAATATGGTCAACATAGCCAGTTCTAGACCATCTAGGGCTATATTCTCTGTCTCAAAACCAAAGAATCAACCAAAACCCAACAACAAAATTAAAACTTTGTTCTTTGTTCTCTTTGATCTTTGCAAATAAGATCCACCTGTTGAAAGAATTTATTGGCATTTTTCAGGTCTTTGTGAATTAATGATACAATTCTAGTATTGACAGCTAACAAAGATAGAGTTTAGAAAATTTTAATATGCCATGCATATTAAATTAATATGCCAAGCATTAAATTTCAGATTTCATGTAAAAGCATAATGGAGAATTAAAACTAAAACCTCAGTTATGTTTGGCTGTTTAGGATTAATGTAAAGAAGAATAAGACTCCCAACATGCAGTTCTTTGCAGGGGATTATGGGTTAGAAATTCATTCAACTTTTAATACAGCAGGAGAAATAGTAATAAATATGGTAGTGGTTATAGAATTGACAATATTTTTAAATATTTTAATGGAAGCTGGGTGCGGTGTTGAATACCTGTAATCTCAGAGCTTTAAGACATGAGAGTTTTAGTTCAGTGAAAGTCTTTTATATTTCAGTAAAGGCAAGTGTAGTTGAAAATGTACTACAAAATGTAGGAGTGTGGAATATGGTCTCTGAAGCCTTCTTAGCATTCTGTCAGTATCCTGGCCATAGAGGCCACATGTTCCTGGTGTGTGCTATCTAATAGGAACCGGCAACACAGTTTGCTTAAGGAATCAAGACTCATTTCATCTTGATACACACTGTGTCGGACTCACCTTGGTAGCCTGACCTGGCATTGTTTCTTTCATCTGCATTAGGATGCTATTCCCTGGTAAAGCTAGCGTGGATGCTCATCATTCCAACTGTGCATCACCACCACATACACTGGTGCCTGGATCTGACTGCCTTAATATAAATAAGACTTTCATCGGCTCTTTAACAGTCTTAATTCAGGCCCCAAATTCTGTGCTTTTTCATTGGTTATGCATAATCATTTTCCATACAACAGATGTGCAATCTGGATAGAGTAGATTAAATCAAAGGCAGTCTAGTCGCTTGAGGTCACATACACCCTGTGCCCCCTCTTTTCTAGGAAGAAACACATTGATTAATTTTAAGTATGTATTATAGGTAAACCAGGTCCTCTCTGACCCTCATCCCAGATAGGCTGATTTGTCTTTAGGACAACCTCAACTATGTAAATCAGTAAAATCCATATTTCTAATCAATGTATTGATTTATTGAGGCATACCAGTTCTTGTGTTATATTTACATCCCTGGCGAGGTTGCAAGAACCTGTATGTATTTTATGAATTCATAAAGAAAAAAGAAATCACCTACACAATGGTGATTCTTCATCTTAGTGGGCATAACTTAAAAGACGCTTTTTAAATAAAGTTTAGACACTTTGATGTGCACCAAGCCAACATGAGAAAATATGTTCCTGAATGCTAACCCTTTAGTTTACTGCTTTCCTTAGAATTATTGCAATTTCTTTTTCAGGATCTGGACACATTTCTTCAGAATACTAACTAAATTTCCAAGTGCTATAAATAAGACAGTGAAGTCACGTCCTATTTAAGAACATGACAACAATTTTCTCCATGATATTTTTTCACATTTAAGACAGACATTCTTGGGCTGGTGAGAAGGTGCCTGCTGTCAAGCCTGATGACCTGAGTTTTGTCCTTTGTAGCCACATAGTGGCTAGGAATAGGAAATTCCTATTGTCAAGGAAAAAACCTATTGTCAGAAAGTTGTCCTCTGACCCCCACACACGTGCTGCCCATCAATACCCACACATTCCCCCACATGCACACAGCATACATCAGTGTAAGGCTGAGACAACTGCACTCTCAGTCATTGTGATAACTTGGTATTTAAAAAATAGTTTAGAAACTAATTGTTTCTAAAATAATCAATAAAATAGTAAGGCAGTTCTTATCACCATAATTTATGGAACAGTGACTTGACCTCCTTACATTTCTGACAATTTAGACATGGAGGTCTTAGTTATATAGGCTCTCATATGTATTGCTACTGCCTTCCTAGTCATGTGAACCAAAAAATATCTCCAGACATTTCCAAAATCATCCCATTACCTACTTAATGTCAAGTCTACAGTGTCTGTTACATTTTATACATTTATTCGATGTGTGTTAATTGAACGCATTGTTCTGAAGTCTAGAGTTATAGCAAATTCTTACCACACAGAATTTACAACCAAGTCAGGAGAGATGGACTGAAGAGAGCAATAGAGGTGTGGTGTTGAGGAAAGTTCTCTCTGAGGAGATGACACTTAGTACCCAAACCTTAAAATTCGGTGACAGAGTAATCCAAGCAAAGGACACAAGGTAGAAAACTTGATGTGGGAAGCATGCTGCTGCAGAAGCATGATGGAGGCAGAATGTTGCTGTTGCCAGGGAACAGAGAGCAAGGTGTAGACAGAAGCTCCAGTGTTGAGGCTAAGTCTGTGGCAGGAATGTATGATGCCTTTCAACATGTGGAAAGGAACTAAAGCTACTTTAAATGTTATTTGAAAGTTTTGGAGCATTTTTTAAGCCTAGACTTGTGTAGAACATAGAGTTAGAGATAATAAAAATGAAAGACTATAAACTATTTAAATGAAGGCAGCAGACATTTGATGAGATATTAAGTGCACTGGGTGGAACCAGCAATACTTATTGGTAGAGGAATAAAGCTTTGGGAATTTTCTAATGAATGTGACATGAATGGTTTCTGAAGAACAAAAGTACAAAATCCTGACTAGGAGAAATTCCGAAGAGTATAGGAAGTGAGAGCCAATGAGTGTTGAGAACTCCTAGGAGTAAAGGGAGGAAGTGTGAGTGTGTGTGGGGGTCATGCATTTGTGTGTGTGCACATAAGTGTGTGTGTGATTTGATTTAAAATACTAAAAAGTAGACATTCCAAAATGTGCTTTTAAATATATTCCACCTTCCTTAGATGCTGATGAAAGGAATCCGGTTGAAAACGCATTGATAGGTGATATAGACAACATAACTGCAGAAGCAAATCTGTGTCAGCAGCAGTGATTGGCTGCCGATGATAGCCAGTAACTGTTGAGTACTGGCTGCTGTGTGAGGCAGGGTGTAGGGCTCCAGAAGAGGGCAGACGTTTCAAGTGAGAAGATGAGAGATGTTACTTCCCAGGGAAGTCAGAAGTAAGATTTTAGGAACTGTATGTTCTTTCTGCCTGTAGTCAGTAAGCAAGGTGAGTGTATGTTCAGTTGAGAACCCTGAAGACAGATCATGAAAGGGGGGAGCGAGGTTCTGAGAAGGAAGTGGGAAGGTCAGTAAGATACACACAGTGTAAAAGTGGAGGGGGCACCAAGGTAGTGCCAGGAGTGTGGGGGGGAATGATAGAGACATTTTTGAAAATGTCATTGCAGACATTTATTGCAGAATAAAACCTAATATTGTATATGTAAATTTTTAAATAATAAAAAATTGAGGTCTTTGATATGATCAAAGCACAAAGTAGAATATCATACATGCATGGGAATGTCACAGTTCTGAAACCATTTAACACATATAAGTAATATACAATAGTAGTTATAAGCTGTTTTAAGTTTAAGAAAAGGCCAGATATTTGATTGCAAGTGGTGAGGTTTTAAAAGGGAGCTAGAGATGTAAGTCATGAGAAAAGCAGTAGTCATGAGAATGGACAAGGGTTGACTAGAGAGACACAGAAACATTGCCAAGGTCTGAGGGTTAGTGACAGCCTTACAAAATCTGCCACTAAGCCCGGCAGTGGTGGCACACGTCTTTAATCCCAGCACTTGGGAGGCAGAGGCAGGCAGATTTATGAATTAGACGTCAGCTTGGTCTATGGAGCGAGTGCCAGGACAGGCTCCAAAGCTACATAGAGAAAAACCTGAATAAATAAATAAATAAATGTGTCTGCTTCCCACCACTCATTACTCAACAGTGGGGAGCAAGCACTGAAAAATGTCTCTTTATGTTGCATAAACATTGAATGAGGACTGTGATGTTGGTAAGGCTCACGGTCTGTGGAACATCATTGTATTATGTGTTCTGCTCCTGACCATCATTGTACAGCACATGGCTATAGTACCATAGCAACTTGAGCTTGCTAGTCACCATAGGCAGAGAAACCTGCTTGTAGGTTGTGATAAGTACATCAGGTAGTAATAGCCTTTGACCAAGAATAAAAGAAAGAAAAAAGGCTGCCAAGTTGTGTACAGTAAACCTGTTAGTGGTTGGTGGACCCCATGGGATTGTAAGTGCTAGCCTGCTAAAGGAGGACAAATGGGGTCAGTACTTGGAGGTCACAGAATGGGATTCATGAAACTGAGGTTTAAGGAGTTATGCAGTAGTAGACAATCGTTTTTTATGGTGACTAAGATGGGTCAGTGAGACGAAGTGAGAATAATGCAGTTGAGAAAAGAGTTGGTATTGGAAGATATCTACATGGTGGAAACACTGCTGAAAGCCAGGCCTTTGCTATACCCCCTGTGGATGGGGTTGGGGCTGGCAGGGAGAAATTCAGCAGCAGGCACTCTGAGAAGGTGGTAAGGTTCAGGGGAGCAGACAAGAAGCAGTCTGGAGGTAACAAGGAGGAGCAAGCCTACCTTTGAACTCACTCAGGGCTTATGGGGTGTTGGGTGACAAGGACTATAGTTGGTTTGGGAAAACTTCAAGGTCCTTTGTTCCCTGAGTGAAAATAGCAGCAGGGATGAAGGGACCATTTAGGATGGCACTGGAGAGACTGATTTTGGCCAGCAGTGACTTCCAGGGATCACTGTAAAAGAATTTGATGATAGGGGACTTATCTTCTATTTAAATAATTCTGCATTAAAAATTTCTGTGTCTCTTCTTGAGAAATCACACATAGTGCTCGGGGCTAATCTGACCTTCAGTGTGCTTTGTAATGTCCCTATTACAGGAGTGGTTTGCAGTATACGTGGAGCTTAACCAGCAGATTGCAGCACTCTTGAACGCTGGGGACGAGGAAGATCTGGTGGAGTTGAAGTCTCTGCAGCAACAGCTTAGTGATGTTTGTTACCGACAGGCCAGTCAGCTAGAGTTTAGGCAAAATCTCCTACAGGCAGCTTTGGAATTTCATGGTGTGGCCCAAGATGTGAGTACCTGTTCTGATTACTTTCCATGTCTCCAAATGACACAGACAATCTGTACAAAACTTTTGTAGGTTTGCATGTCTCATGATTATCTTCCCCGGACTGTAATTTACTGGTGGAGGTAATGAGATAAAATTCCTCAGTTAAAAATTATTTTGTTATTCTGCATGCAATTAAACCTATTATCTAACTAAAGCATTCCAAGCTAGTATTTTATTTTGATGGTTTCTCAATAATATGTTTTATAACATAGGCAGAAATGGAACCATCACTAACTTCTTGCATTCTGCTGACCTTCTGTGTGTCCCGTCTTCTAGATAACATGTATTCTGATTGCTCGTCCTTATCTTTTAACTGCATAGTTTCTTCAAGTGTATTTGTGATGGCCTCATTAGATAGACCTCATTAATCATTGAAGACTTGAGATGCCAGTTACATCAGGGTTGTCTCTTTGTCCCTCTGCTTTAGTTGTCTCAGCAGTTGGATGGCTTATTAGGTATGTTGTGCGTAGACGTAGCACCAGCTGATGGAGCATCGATTCAGCAAACTTTAAAACTGCTCGAAGAGAAGCTGAAAAGTGTTGGTAAGCAGATTTTAAAAATGCTGAAACCTCAGGGTTCTTTGTAAAAATATTACCATGGTTAGACAGTTAATTTATATACTGGACTAATTATTTGCAGGGAACACAGAAAACATAATATTGAAAGGTTTTATTCCCTTGAAGGGTTATAGTTTATACTAAAACATTTATTTTCTGTTGTGATTGGTCAGTCCTGCCTTCCTCGGGCCTTTCACCTTCCTGTTACTCAATTTAAAGTGCTATGTCTTGCATATTCCAGGGACAGATATTTATCATGCATGCAGAAACCATAATTAGTTGTGAAGTGTTCCATGATAAACCCTGCATGCCCCAGACTGTGTTTTATGCAGTGACTTTTGTTGGCAGTGGTGTTGCTATGTCTAACCATGAGAATGAATAGTTGGTTTGATTCCGTGTATTGTATCTCCACACTGAAAATCATCTTCAAGGGAAGTATAGTCCAGTTTCATTAACCCGGCTCTGTCACTTGACATCAAGACTCTTTAAATGCATTTGCAGCAGGAAACACAGTGCAGTTCCTTAGTTGGAAGTCAAACTGAGACAGGGGCATCTTACAAAAAGGGTGAGTAGGGAAGATGCAGGACATTAAGGCAAGTTAGTAGAAGGTGATGATGACACATGATTGAGCAAATTAATTCATTATGAAAACAACTTAGGGAATTAGTTTTTTATATTGACATTTTACTTGCTTACAGCCTTTGTTAAGTTAATGGATGGTAAGCATAATACCTCTTTAATATTTCATATGCCAACTGTAATTTAAAGTATCTCAAGTTTTCTTGGGCCATGCTTTCCTTGAAAGAGAACTCCTATGCACATGTCTAATTTGGAGTCCGGACATCATGGATAGCGCTTCCCACGGCATGTGAGCGCCAATGGTTCTCCTCACAGTGGCCCTCCTCACACTGTTCATCCTTTTACTTTGCTTACACATTGTAAGCATTTTTGAAACCTTGCAAATCTTAGGCATTTGAGAAAAAAATGTGCACCATTTCCCTAAAAATTAGAACACAAAAGGACAAAGGGAAAATATAAAGTCATATCTGTTGAAATAGAGAATCCCATACTTTGACTTTTTAAAAGTCTCCATTTATGCAGATTTGGTTTTGAAGATTCCCTTTATGGAGAATTTGGCAACAGAAGCAAGCATTCCATTTTGAACCCTTTTAGAGGTTCTATTGTTGAGATAGTGAGAGGTCTGCATCCTGTCATGTCAGTTTCTAAAGTGTCTACATTTGGAACTTATGTTTAGCTGCTGAAGAAGAAACACCCTTGTTAAGATATTCAATCCAGTGTCATTTGTTTTAGATGTGGGATTGCAAGGCTTACGAGAAAAAGGTCAAGGTCTCCTGGATCAGATCTCCAATCAGGCTTCCTGGGCCTATGGAAAGGATGTAACTATTGAAAATAAAGAAAACGTGGACCACATACAAGGAGTGATGGAAGATATGCAGCTTAGAAAACAAAGGCAAAGTTTGAATGTTAATGTTAAATTCACCAAAATAGCATGAAACTAAGATAGAAGCTAAATAATCTATATTTTGCATATAAAAGCAAACCTCTTACCTCTTATATGTATAGTAGGTTTGGGGTGAATGTGGTAATTATTATATATAATTGTTCTGACAACCAATGCCACTTCATTCATTTGATAAGGAGGCACCTTTCCCCCTCTTACCTGGCTGTAGAGATTTTAGTTAAACTCAGATATTCACACTAGAAGAAGACCATTGTGGAAAGTGTTCTTTTCTGTTTTCTGTTAGAATTCTGTTAAACCTTACCTAGTTGTCCCTTTGTCTCATCTTATGTCTCACATCCATTGTTGTGTTGGTCGTAGGATTAGACAGTGGGCTGACATTGAGTTGTCTTCGCTTGGTAGACTAACAGGAACTTAAGGCTATGGAGACTCAGTCTCTGATCATGACCTGAAAGTGTTAGAAAGTAAAAGATTAAAATTACAGAGGCAAGAGTAGGCACAGATATGTAATCTGGCATGGTTGTATGGAATTTTGCACACTTGGAAACTTAAGTCATGAAGAGAATTTCCCAGACATTTCCGCTCTGCACCACGAAGAGTCACAAAGCAGGAATTCCTTTTGCACCCTGCCTTGATCCTACAGTGTCCTTACTGTGGGGTGATAACTCTGTGAGATTCTTGGGTGAGTCCTCATATGTGCTCTAGCTTCTCTTGCCCAGCTGTCTTCTTACTCTAGCAATGTTTGTTCTCCGCCCTGGTTTGGGTTCCTCCTGTGGATGCTTAGATCTCTTCAGTATGAAGTATAATAAATGATTGTACACGTGGAATTGTCACAGAAGGAGTGACTTGTTCTTCAGTCCACTGCCTTCTGATGTCTCCTCTACTCCTCCAGCTCAGTCATTGGCAGGTCTAACCCTGTATTCCTTACTTCCTCTAGGTTATTTTCTATCCTTCTTTATTCTCCTTTCTGCCTCCCTATTCCTCTCTGTTTGCTTGTTCTAGTGTCAGAAACTTCTAATCCCTGTATGTAATAAACTCATTCTTGGAAAAAATCAGGGCCTATTTTAGACCTGACCGGCTTGATTCTAAATAGCATTGGACACAGTTGGTACAACTGTGTCTTCCTTAAAAACAGCCTCTTGGCTCTGTCCCTCCTGGTTTCTCTTTCTATTGCTAAAGGCTTCCAGAGCTGTGGTGTCCTTCTCTCTGCACATCTTCCCAGAGTCTGCCCTGCATGCTCGTGACTCACTAGGTACCAAGACCTCTCTACCTTGGGTTGCTTCTGGGAGATAGATCTCCAGCTGGATGTGCCACATTCTCATCCAACCTGCTATGCCTAGATCAGATTCATTTCTCCCAAACTCTGCTCTCTCTTAGTTTCCTGTTCAAGTTGCTGTCAACTACCAAATTTAGAATTTAGCTCTAAATTTAAAATCTATCTCAGATGCCAAAGGTTTTCTTTTTTCTGCCTTTGGTCTTGCTGCTGATAATTCTGTTGCAGACAAGAGTAATCTTCACAAGGACAAAGACTGAATGAAGCCCTTGACTTTTGTTTCCATTATTAGAATAATGAGGGTTTTTTTCACACCTTTCTTTTTGTCTCCCCACCATTTCCATGTCTGATCACCACTATGACTACGTCCTGGCCTCACATTCCATGCATGTTTAAAGCCAAGTAAAGACTGTATTTCCATTCTTGAAAGTGAAACAGGCATCTAAACAGCACATTTTTGGCAGTAAAATCTGGTCAACGTTTACCAAACACTGTAGGGGGAAGCCCTCACTTCTCATTATAAAAAAGACAGCCAGATAATCAGCTCCTACAGCAGTGAAGTAAGATAGAATATTTTATTTTCTTAAAGAGACTTCCTCCACTGCCAGAGCACTCAAGAACCTCCTGGTTAGTCCTCCGGAAGCAATTCCTTATATAGCTTTTGAACTTGTCTTCTACTTTGGGAGAACCTTTCTTTTCTATACTTTTTTGTTTTGTTTTGTTTTCCTATTGTTTGGTTGGTTGGTTTTCTTTGGATTCCTGACCTTTTGATGTTAGGGTTGATGGTTTTGTCTTTTCTATTCTGGTTTGATTCTTTTGCATTTTTGGCTGGAGGAGCTCATTCAGATTCCTTCACCAGAGCTGCTGCTTCAATTTCCTTCTCATCTTTACCAAGCTTTACTTCTTTCTGTGGAACCTGATTACTACTTCCAGAGGCTGATCCCTTCCCAGACAGGCTGCTTGTCTCCATCTTCTGACTCGATATCTTGCTCCATGCTACTAGGTGCCATCCACTAACATGTGCAGGCCCTGAGCCACACATGAACCTGAAGACAACAGATGGTGTTATTTGAAGGTCCCAGCTGTTGGATGTATAGATCTTTTCACAGTTGCCACTATTACTTTAATTTGACTGCCCTGTGATTCATCACTTCTGCTTCAACCATGTGTAATTCATCTTTAGCCTTAGTGTCTAAACTGACTCTTCTTGATAACTGGTGCTCATTTTCACCATTATCCATCTTAAAGTAATAATCTTTGTCAGCCTTTGGTTGACAACCAAAAGGATGGTTGTGGGACCTCAAAGGTCTCATGTCATTATGTCTTCCATGGGATGGATGCATGAACTTCAGTGAGAGAAACTAGCCAGAGACAGCTGACTATGGACTACTCTCCTCAGGACATAGATGGAGTTGTGTTCTTAGGCTAGTGTAGGAGACCACCTTCAGCTCTGCAGTCTCAGCATCCTGTAGCTTCCTACAGAATTGCAGTTGCTTTTAGTTTCTCAAATGTGTTGTGTTTGCCATTCATTGATGACTCTTTTTTTTCTGTCTAGTGGATGCTTATGCTAGGCAAATGAGTCCTTCTCCACCCCCACAGAATGTTTTACACGGATACGTAACGGTTTTTACCATCTTACCAACTAAAATTCATTTCCCATCAACGTTTTCTAATCTGACTCCTGTGTGTTTAGATGTTATAATTTAAACTTAGGCTCAACTGTCTTATTTTCCCAATGGCATACAATATGTATTGAGCTTCATGTGGCAATCATTATCATTAAGGTGTATTACATATATTATTGTTTAGATCTTAGGAATAATCATTGTTATTTCCCTTCTGTCACTTGTAGATGTACCTTAAATAAGCTACATTATAACATTTGGCTGGGACTGAGAAATCTTTGTTTTATAAGTCGCCCATTAGTAGCTAGTTCTGTGTTACCATTTGGCTTTCTTCAGGAACCCTGACTGTGGAGCCTGTGGTCTGTTGGATTACCTGTTTCTGATATGTGGGCTTTACAAGAGTCCCCTACCTGCCTCTGGTACATGGAACTGCATAGAAATGAAGGAAATGGATCATATCTTAGTTACACCAAGACACTATTGAGATTTATTCTGTATATTATCCATGCAGACCACAGAGAGTTTAAACAATGCTCTGCATTGTGTTGTCTTAACTCAGAAGATATGTGGATTATTTTTTCTTAAAGAGTATAGGTGTACATTTTTAATTCAGAATTTAGTATTATTCCAGATAATATAATTTGAAAAAATAAATTAAATTTCTATGGAGCATCATCCTCTAAACTTTTATACTTTTATCTTTGAAGCTTGTTTAATAAAGTTGGCGATGGAGGTTTATTTGGTTTTTGGTGAACCATTGCGTTTATGCTTTGCTTCAATATTTTGCAGAATCCATGCTATCCTCGAGAGGGTTTGTCATTCAGTATCATCCCAGGTATTTCGAGGTCTTGATGTAACATAGATAATAGATTAGATATTCATAAACCTCTGACAAGTCAGTACAAAATAGTTGCAGTATCCATAGAGCATAGGACTAAGTATTTTAGTGTACTGTTAAACATTCGTGTCAGACAATGATGTTGTAGATCTAGGTCAGAGTACTAAGCTGAGTTTGTGTTTGGTCCATTAGATGTGAGGATATGGTAGACGTGCGGAGGCTGAAGATGCTTCAGATGGTGCAGTTGTTTAAATGTGAAGAGGACGCTTCCCAGGTAAGGCCCGGCAAACCACATAGGAGGTTAGCCTAGACTAAGTTCATTGTAGGCTAACTTAGAAGGCTAAGTTCTCTTAACTGTGAACAAAGTGGACTCCTGTGGTATTAAGAAAGCCAGTTTATTATGTCAGGTCCTTGTTTCTCCTGTAGAGAATAAAGCTTGGGATTTAGCTAGTTTACTGATCTCATTTCACTCACCCCCTCAGTGAAATCTTCTGTTGAGTTAGAGACTGGGAATATTTATTAATTATTATTGTCAACGAAGTTGTTCTATCCTGGAATGAAGGGTGGTGAAGCACACTGCTTTCTGTTTCACAAGAGAATTATCCGTGCTACATAAGCAACTTGATGTAATCATGTGCTTAGTATCAAAAAAATCATTTAATCTTGAAGTACAGAGAGAATATATCATTTCAAGTCATAATGCACATCTGTAATGGATTCCAGCAGAACTATATTACAGAGACCCATGACCTCATATCATGTGATGCTAGCTGTACATTGAGCATATCTCTTCAGTAGGTCCTACCTTGACATTTGAAATAGCAGTTTGAGGATCAGGAGAGATTGTTCGTTCATAGGGCATGGCATCAAATGAATGCTAAAACCAGGGTATTAATTAAAGAGCTAACTAATAACACAGAAGTAATTTCTGCACAGACTTAGTGTTTCATTACAAAGAAAGAATTATGAGCCAGTTTTATTCTGTGTATTCATTAGGCAGTAGAATGGCTAAGTGAACTTCTGGATGCCCTGCTGAAGACCCACATCAGACTGGGCGATGATGCTCAGGAAACGAAGGTTTTACTGGAAAAACATAGAAAATTTGTTGATGTTGCACAGGTACAGAACTTGTCTTCTTTTCTACAAGGGCAGTGTGTGAATAGCTTTCTGCAAGATGATGGTGTACCTTAACCTTCCAAGTCTAAGAAGGCCAGTTTTGTTACACAGAGTTAAGAAAATGCCAGCTGGTAAACCAAGACTGGGCTACAGGAACTTAAGAGGGTTTGGCTCCTGAGTAGAGAGTCTCTGTGTTCTCTCTGCTTTTTATTATATGCTATGCCATTTAGACTATCGGACACACAATTAACATAAGGTACTTGTTAGTGACAGCAGATTAGAAGCAGCAACTCCTAGTTTCACTAGAATTAGCATAGTGATACAGAATTGTTTGGGGACCGAAAGTATGTTTGTGTATTTTCCCTCATGCAGAATTCATACTTTCCTATATGTAATTTACTTTCCTCTATGTAATATAAACTGTGGAGCTAACTTCATCTCTTTGTTTTGGCAATCAGAGAGCTGACATTCTTTTGACCAGTACAATTTAGCGGGCTGAGATGGTGAGCTTAAAGAGAATAAGGACAGGAGCCTAAAGAAAAACAAACCTGGGAGCTAACTAGACACATTACTGCATTTGTTAATTGTGTTTGCAGATTGCTGACAGGATGCTGGGTTCATGTAGTGTAGGTGTACTGTGGTGCCACAAAGGCTCCCCATTTCCCTCCTTACAAATTGCTTGTATTCTAACTTTGTGGTTATTTTCCTTCCTAGAGTACGTACGACTATGGCAGACAGTTGCTGCAGGCAACGGTTGTTCTGTGCCAATCTTTGCGCTGTACTTCCCGGTCTTCAGGGGACACACTTCCTCGACTGAACAGAGTGTGGAAGCAGTTTACAGTAGCGTCTGAAGAGAGAGTGCATAGGTTGGAAATGGCTATTGCCTTTCACTCAAATGCTGAAAAGGTAGGCAGGATCTTAAAACTATTTTTTGAGGTTTTATTTATTCGTGTTTCATGTTTGTTTTCGGGAATTTAAGTCTGTGTGCCACTTACAATGCAGTACCTGTAAAGGTTAGAGAGGATGACAGATTCCCCTGGGACTGGACCTACAGTGTTGCATCATCATGTGGGCGCTAGGAGTTGAGCGCAAGTCCTTTGGAAAAGCAGCAGTGTTTTTTAACCATTGAAACTTCTCTAGCCCCATTGTATTCTCTTTTAAAATCAAACAAAAACAACAATTAATAAAACCAAAAACAAAAGACAAGTTACCTTGATAATATTCATTGCAAATGTTTAAGATGTTAATTGGAATAATGTAATTATATGATTAATCTATGTGTTACTGTTCATGTTCATTTTGTTGCTAAGGTTCCTTTGAATGTGTATCGTCATAAGAATGTCTCCACTCAGTCTCCTGAGTTGACCCCGGGCTAGAGTGCTTGGCCAGAGGATTCCAAAACTACAGGAGGCCTGGCTTCTCTCCCTGCTCCTCCCAGTGCAGTCTCTGCACTCTGCTGTCACCTTGTCAGGCTCTTTCATTAGGTCAGGAAGAAAACTATTTTGGCAACTATGTTTGTAGTAATTGTCAGAAAGTTTTTAAAAGTTATTTTGTATTTCCATAATTCAGGGTATAGACTGGCCAAGTAAACTAATGAAACTAAAACAAACAAACAAAAAAACCCTTTGTTTGATGATTATTTTTAAAGATCCATTCTAGAATGTATTTCTTCGTAGTTTTATGTAATTAGAGAAGCCAGTAATAAAAGTAGTATTTGGGCAAATTTTTTTAGAATCCATTTCTCTTCACAGTAGTGATGCTGAGTACATTCCCATTCAAGAAGGAAGTTTTTTATTAGGTAGTTAATTTTGTGTTGAAAACTTAACAGTTTGAGTTTATATGCAGGGTATTTAAATATGCAGTAAGTTATAGCCTTACCCCAAGACAAACCTCAGGATGTGACAACCTCAGGAACTCAGGAGAAACAGATGTCACAGGGAATCTCAGGAATCAGGGGAGGGGGTTCATGTTTGAAGCACACTTTTGAAAGTGACATAGCAGATTCTCTCACCTGCTCACTGAACTTTGCAGTTTAGTGTTTTTGGTAAAATGGGCCACAAAATGGGACATTGAGTATGTTGGCTCATACCTGTAGTCCCAGTACTCTGGAAACTGAAGTAGAAAGATTCCAAGTTTAAGGGTAAGCTGAGCCATACAGAGAGACCTCACCTCGGGCAACAGACAAACAAAGGCCTAATGAGCATGAAAAAAGTATAGAAGATAGCTTGATTTATTTTATCTGCTGATTATTTCAGTGAACTTTTTTTTATTATTATAAAATACACTACTCATCCAGAAAAAGTATAGACCTTCAGTGTTGTTCTTATTGGATGTGTACAGGGTGAGCATGCTAGTGCAGGGCCTGAAGCCTCACCCCATCTTAATGGACTTGTACAGTGAGCATGCCAGTGCAGGGCCCTGAAGCCTCACCCCATCTTGGTTCACCATACTCTGCTTCTATCAAAAGAGACTCGATTCAAGTTTCTAACATGATAACATTTTAGAAGAATATTTTTTAAGATTTATTTATTTATTATGTATAAATGTTCTGCATTCATGCCTGCAGGCCAGAAGAGGGCACCAGATCTCATTACAAATGGTTGTGAGCCACCATTTGGTTGCTGAGAATTGGACTCAGGACCTCTGGAAGAGCAGCCAATGCTCTTAACCACTGAGCCATCTCTCCAACCCCTTGGAGACTATTCTTAAATAGGAGAATATTTTTAAATTGATAACCCTTTAGAAGGTATATAAAAATAATTTTAGTTATGAGATTTTAAAATAGAAAGTTGGTGTTTGGGGATTTGTTTTTGTTTTGTTTTGTCCCTGGCCTTTATCTTGCTATGTAAAGTTTTTTGTCATCATTCACTACTTCTCTTCTCGACTGCTTTATTTTATAAAGCAAGCATAAACTCAACTATAACTGTAATCAAATTATATAACACAATAACTAAAGAAATATCCAAATTTGAATCCCAACCTTGAATTTTTTTAATAAAAAAGAATGAAATGTCTTTACTAGAATTGTAAGCAGTTAAATCAGCAGATCAAAGAATCTAGGCAGATCTTCACGTCAGCTACCTCTGCACATGATGTTGGTGTAGTTTGCAGTTTCTTTAGTTTTGAAGTCTGTAAGCTCCTCAAGAACAGAGCTTGATACCCACACTCCACTTTGCTAAATAAACATCCCATCAAGTGTCCAGTACATGGTTGTCTAAAAAGCTAGAGACAATTTCATAAGCACAAGTTCTATTCATTTTCCAAATAGTACTCCATTATTTCTTTCCTAGAAATCACCCCAGATTTTTTTTTTTTTTAGTGTTTCTGATTGTATGTTGTTACTCAAGATATGCTTCATTTGTAATGAGAATTTCTTTACTTGTCGTAGCTCAGTCTCGTGCAATTGATGCTTATAGCTGTCATAGCTCAGTCTGGGATGCTTATGAAGACACTAAGCATGGAACCAGAGCACCTTCCTCAGCTTACAGAATTTATGCAGGATTAATTCTCTTTCATGGTTTTGATTGGTGCTGCCCTTTTGTTTGCTACAGATTTTGCAGGACTGCCCAGAAGAGCCTGAAGCGCTTAATGACGAGGAGCAGTTTGAGGAAATAGAAGCAGTTGGGAAATCACTTTTGGATAGACTCACTGTCCCTGTGGTTTACCCAGATGGGTATGGTGCATGTTCTTATCATTTAAAAGCTAAATTACTAAGTGAGGAAAATCTATTCTTTAGAAGGCCAAGTATCTTAATTTTGGTCCACATTTCCAACTCCTACAATAAATCAGTTTAAGTTGCAAAGAAGTCCAAATTCAGCTGTTGGCAGCAGTGACAGTCCGTGTTTGCTGACATCAAAATTGCCTCTTGACATCTTGTAAGCAGATGATTGCAGATTAGTTTGAGTCATGGACTTCTAGCCTGAGCTATGACCACAGGGAGTTGTGAGGTTGGGGCCTCATTCAAAATGGGGAGAGTTAGCAAAGGGACTGAGACCCAAGGGACTGAGCTCATAAGATGCACCAAGCAAGCAGCTTTGGTTCTTGACCTTCTTTGCTTATACCAGATAGGTCCAGGCCAGTGTGGTTATTTGTGACTTGGAACTGAAGGAACTGAGGCTTGATTCAGTAAGAGGACCAGGGTTTCCTAGTTTCCAGGTGTTGGAGTTAGGACACCATCTCATGTTTGTCCAGCCCCAGACCTGTGTCTTCTCACAGGCCCTATGGCATCTGAGATTTTTCCTATGGAAGGTCATCAGACCCTGATGTGTCCCTTCTTTTCTGTTCAAATGTGAAATGACCTGTTATAAAAATCAACAAGCCTGGAAAAGAATCAGGAGTTTCATTCCTGGAGATCTCCACCTTGTCAGTGAGTCACTGAAAGGTAGTGCAAAGGAAGTTTGAATCAAACAATAGTAAGATATCCAGCTTTGTGATCCTGTGATGGAGGGGAGTATAGAGGCTTGCAGCCCAGTGTCTCAGCTCCTTTTCTTCCTTCCTAGCAGTGACTGCAACTCTCTGTGTCTTGGTTCCCATGCCTGATTACAGAGTGGAGTAATTGTGCTTTTTCAGATCACAGTGGTGGTGGTGGTGGTGGGGTGACTCCTGGATCAAATATATATAAAGAACTTGGATATGAGACACAAAGGGCATACTGCTGTGTTACAGACTTCCAGGGAGTGTTTGGAATTCATATTGAAAAAAAATTGTCAGTTTACTCCATTGGAATAATATTACTCATAGTTTATACTGAGAAGAATCTCCAGGGATGCCTAGATTTCAACTATCAAAAGTAGCTTAGTGCCATATGATTTACCTGCAGTGAAAGACAGCAATCCCAGCTTCCAGATGCAAGTTACTGTGCAGGGCCCCAGGGGAACTAGTTTCTTCTCATACGGTATATCACATTTTATGATTACATTTGCTTTTATGCATCTGTCACAGTTAAACAAATTTGTATTAACTTGTGTTTTTTTCTGTGTGTTCTGATTTTAGAACTGAACAATATTTTGGGAGTCCAAGTGACATGGCTTCTACTGCAGAACACATCAGAGACAGAATGAAACTGGTCAGTCTCAAAAGGCAGCAGCTGAGACATCCGGAAATGGTGACCGCAGAAAGCTAATGTCCCCAGCTCCCACAGATCTGCAGGTCATACGCTGCCCACACATCTTCGCCGTTGGCATACTGCTGTGCTAGCCACAGCTCATTAAGATGCATTTCCCAGCAGGATAAGCCTCCTTTCTTCCCACAACACGTCTCTAAATGCTAACACCTCTTGGCTCCCGAGGCATAATCATGTAACATGCTTAGATGCTCTAGACTCCAGGTGTCTTAAAGAAGGAACTGTAAACACTGCACTGAGTCCTTGCTTTCACGCTTTACCTGACTTGTCAGTTTGTAGATGAACAACTAAAAACAAGCTTTTGAATGGTGCTAATCGGAGTTTAGGAATTCTCTATGAAAACATGGTTGCCCCTCCTCCCCAGGTGATGTAGACCATTTAGACCATAGTTAAACTGTTAGTGGATAGTGAATACAAAATTTTACTTTGTGATTCTTCAAAATTGATTATTTTTATTGTCTATATGAAGAAAACCCTTCAGATCTTTGATATATCATATTCATTGGAAGACATTTTCCTATTGTATTCATAATGTATTAAAAGTTGTTTGTGCTTAATAAAAGTCTTCTTTAAGTATCTTATTAATTTGGTAGTTACATCCTAATTCTAAACATGAGTGCCTTAATAAAAGGGCATTCTTTGGGTTGTGAGGATGGGCTTTTGGTTTTGATGGTGGCTGCATGTATTTTAGGCAGGAATTTCATATGTATGCATGTGTATATAATAAAAAATAAGCATGTTTATTGTGAAAAATTAGACCTTTAAGAACATAATAATAGAAAACTATTTTTAATTTTTCTCTTGAAAATGCTGTCCAAATTGTTAACTACCCTAAAGATACTTGTCTTTGGGCAAAGAGGGCTAGGAACAAAGGTATGCTTAACTATTTCAATATAGTCTTTTGTATCACAGTAATTACTCTGGAACTAAACCAGAAATTGTTAATAGTATTTAATATCTCATGATGCTAGAGGCAAAATCATCCTGAAGAAGTCTAGTCACAAAAACTGTACAGATCTTTAGAAATAAAATTTGTCATAAAATTGTAATGCTTTTATGTTTGTATTAAGTTATAAAATGTATATAATTTAACATTGTGTTAATTTTTATTTTAGCAGTTTTTTGAAGGTGAAAAACAACTAGGCTTATGATCAGTACAGAATTATGCAAAGAATTATATGCTGGTTTATTTTTTGTGGTCTATAGAGATACTCGCATACCCTCCTATGCTAAAGCCAGTTTTCTCCAGCCTTGTCTCTGCCAGCCTTGAAGAAGTCTATGTTCTTTGTCTGTTCATCCTCATCACTCACTCTGCAGAGCCATTTAGTTAGCAACTACACCTCACTATAGGAAAATGTTCTTTTGAAAATTAACCATAGTCTTCCAGTTACTTAATTGAATGTTTTTGCTCTCTGTCACATCACCTCCCTTTCTCTCCATTTCTAGCATCTCTCCCAAATCCATCCCTCAAAGATGTTGTCTTCTGCCGTCACTGTGAGTGTAGTTGTGAACTCATGTAGACTAGGTCTGTTGCATATGTGCACTCTGCTGCTGTCCTCAGCTGTGACTTATTAGGCATCTCATCCCTAGTGTCCTACATTACATGTCTGAGTTAAAGCACATGGCTCTCAGCTTCCTGCCTGTCATTGCCACCTAAATGAAGGATGTATCATACTTGCCTTTTCTTCCTGGAGTAGTTTTTGATCAATGGTGCCACAATGTCCAGGGCAAAATTCAATTGCTCCCCATGTCTTACACTGCCACTGCCTCTGAGACCATCCACAAGTTCTTTCTATACTTGATAACCCTTCTTCCGGGCTTTCCTCCTGTGGGAGGAGCTCCTGTGACTCTTCAGTCTTTATGACGGTGCTAGCCCTTTCCTAGAATGTCATAAGGTCCTTCATGGGTCTTACTGTTGTCTCACATGTCTTGTGCCTAGACTTTTCCTTGTGTGTAACATGCTCAGTCCTACACATGTGTTCCATTGTAAACATTAGTAATAATCCCTCTTCTACTGTAGTCTGGTGTGTATTTGAATGGTGGTATTTTCTAGAGTTAGGGATGACTTATAAATGTGCTTCTGTGGAATGTGTATGATGTTAGATCCTTAGACATGTTCCTTTTAGATGTTTGCTTCTTATATTTAATGTGTTTCTTTTACTGAGTTTCAGTCATCAGTGTTTTTATTATGACTTTGTAATTATGCCATCAGCACATGGGTATGTAATTCCAAATTAGTTAACTTTCATACATTAAGCTCTCTTTCCTGCAAAAAAGATAAAGCAAAATATGGAAATGCCATGTATGATTTGAATAGTCACATGAAATTAGATACATAGTCACTCTTCATTGGCAAATGTGTTGCCCTGTTTCTGTATGTGTGTCTTTACAGATGCACAAGAGTTACGAATCAAAAGCCAACAATGCCCGGAACTGACTTTTCTCATATGGCCACAATTCACTGAGAGGACACATGAAGGATGTGGCTTCAATTTGTTTGAAATCTCAGGCCTTTGCTATGTTGATACTGACATTGGCCTACAAATGTAATTAAAAAGAAAGTCTTCTTTCATTACTGGTTCATTGCTATAGACCCTGCATTACTTTAGTCCCTCCGAGGTATTGACTGACATTTTAGCTGGGCAACTTTTGTTAGGTTGTGTCTGTTTGCCTTCCTCTTTCCTTCCCTCCTTCCTTCCTTCCTTTCTTCCTTCCTTCTTCCTTCCTTTCTTCCTTTCTTTCCCCCTTTCCTTTCCTTTCCTTTTTTTTTTTTTTTTTTTTTTTTTTTTGCCTGTGTCTTTGTTCCTGTGTAAACCCAGTAGACAATGGCAGTTTGATGTCTTCTCTTAGTGCATGTCTGACTCAGCAGAGCTATGGTACAAAGAAGACAGCTTCCTTTAGATCAGTTTGGCTTCATTCCAAGTTCTCATTGCTTTGGCCTTACTTTACAAGGGGGATTCATTAGTGACATTAGTGAAACTGCTCAGCATTGGGATTCAGTACTGCAGAGTTGAGTGGATCTCTTACTTTATTGGGGTTTAAATCAGCTTGTGAATATTACCTGCTCTTCATATGCTTGTCACTTCATTACTTTCAGGTGATGTGTGGTATGCTGTTACGATTGTTACTGTCATTCTTCCCATTGAGAACATGTCAAGTTGCTTTTTTTTTGATAGTGCTAAACAATCTTATTTCATCTAAACAATCATACCACTGCACAGTATGTATCCCACTACACAGTATACATTGGCAGAGATCATTCAGCCTTCTTTTATATGCTATATAACTTTCCAGAAGAGATTTGGTATTCTTGTGGATGTCTCACACCCTACCCAAAGAACACTGAGTCATAAAGAACACATGATGGCTGCTAAAAACTAAAGCTACTATAGCTGGTGTACTTCTGTAGATCTTGAGTCTGTATAGAAGGTACAGGCAGAAATAAGCATCAGTAAATAGGATAACATCCACTACAAGACTTGTACAATGCTAGTATCTTAGATTAAGGACCCAAAGAAAAAGCTCTCCAGAATTTAAAAAGATGGTGAAGATAGCCAGACTGTCAACCGAATTAGTAAACTTGGCAGTGCTGACTTTCAGGTCTCAAAGTAAAGAGTCTCAGTTGAGAGCAGAAAGTATTTTCTGATATGTAGCCAACAAATATCTTGGAGAAACAAAATGAATAGCATTTGACACTCTTTGACTTTACAAAATCAATAGATGTCAATGAATATCCCTGAGACTCTAAAATATGAAATGCACAAGTCATCAATTTCAATAATGAAATATAATAATCTGTAGAAGTATTTAAAACTGAAGGGACATGTACAGTGGAAGGCATCATTGCTATGATCCTTCAGAGTAGAAAATAGTATTCCTTAATCTTGGAATTCATGGACTGGTAGAGAGGACACGGTTTATCCCCTCTGTTCCATACTCCCTTCAGCCCTGACCCCTTCGTCCCTACCCCTTCACCCCACCCCTGTCATCCATACTCCCTCACCTCTGCCCGTCATCCCTACTTCTTCACCCCTGCCCCTTCATCCCCACCCCCATCTAACAGTGGATAAGGAAACATACATTTAGATTACAAGCCTGAAGTACTGAGGGTGGAGCTGGCACCCTCATCAGTGAGTAAAGCTTTAAAGCCGACAGATTCCCTGCTGTGGGAAGATAACAAAACATTAAGATGGAAGACACGACACAAGTATCATCTATGTTGAGTTTGACGGGGCATGAGACAACTCTATTAACTCTATTAATTAACACAATCTGAAGAAAGTTACAGGAGGAGTGCATTAAGAAGGAAACGAGCTATAAAACCAAGAGCGTATATCTGAGATTTGTAGAATCTTCCAGTACTGAGGTAAACATGGCTTGAGACCACCATTAGTGCTAGTCTTGGTTAGAGAAGATGCAATTTGACAGACAGGTAGTGATGGTAATGGGGAAAGACCAGTTGTGTAATAGACACTTAAAAGTGAGGGTGTGCCGTGGTGGCGCCAGTTGGTGGAGGTGATGCTCAGCGTGACTTAATGCCCCAGTAGTCATTTAAAGCAAACTTGAGAACAAACGCTAGTCTGTCTGTGTACTCCAGGACAAAGCAGAACCTGTGCTTGGACACGAAGATCTTCAAGAGCACAGGAAAGCCAGCACTGAAACTAAATATTATGAAAGCTGCTGAGTAAATGTTTCAAAGAATCAAGATTATTTTTGTGAGAACTCTTTATGAGGCAAGATGCAGTATATAATTCCTATATGTCATGACACAGGAATTCTAAACATAGGCTAAAAATAGTGACTGCCAAGCTTTTAGAGCAGAGATGTGAAGGGTGTGAAGTAAGACGTGTGAGACACCATTTCTGACCAGGCCACGCCTTCTGGGGGGTGGGGTAAATGTCAAACCTGTTTCCCAAAGTTTTATTATAAAAATTTTAAGTCTATAAAGTTTAAAAAAGTTTCATAGTGTCCTCACCATGTGGACGTAGTTACACTTGCTTTGTCACATGCCCAGCCATCTGTCCACCCATCCGGATTCTTTTTTGATGCATCTAAAATTGCAAGCCTCTATATGCTTCTACCTAAATACTTCAGCATACCTCTTACTAGCAAGGGTTCCAGACCTGCTTATAGCTTTCTTTTGGTATAAAATTGACATGCACTGTGTTTTCATAAATACATGGAGTACTATATAGAGGAAAACCTACCATTCTAGAAAGTTCTCATGTGGCCCTTCTCATCAGTCACTGACCTCCACATGACAAGCACTGCTCTTTTTCCTACTGTAAGTTTGTTTTGTTTAAAGCTTGTCTTTATTAGCATCACACATCAACTACTTTCTTTGACAAGGCTTCTTCACTACCATAATATTTGGGAGATTTATCCATGGAGTTGGTATTACTATTTCATCCCTATTGTATTGCTGAATAGTGTTCCATTTATTGTACATGACCACTTGTTTTTCCAGTTTCTTATTGGCTAACTGAGCTATTTAGGAGCGGCAATTATGAACAAAGCTGCAATGATCATTCTTAAAATACAACTGTGTGAATATAGTTATTTGTTTTCTCGTGGGTAAATACTTAAAATTGCTGGCTCATAGGAGGTTTTTTTTTTTTTTTAAAGAAACCACCATCCTTTCCTCCAATGTGATTGTTCTGTGCTCTGATTATTATATTTTGAGTATGTAAAAAGTTGTAAACTATTTTTCTGACTCCCATGTTTAAATAGTAAGGAAGTTGGGGTAGAATGGATATCACTCGTGTTTGAATGTGCTAGTTGGCATTTCAGGGAAGTAAGGGAGCCCATCTGCCTCAAAACAGCTCCCCAAGAGGTTCCTAAGACATGAAATTTTAGAATTAGCTCCACTCTGTGAAAGGTTAGACTCTAAGCATGCTAATTTACTAGCTAGAAGAAATGGCACTAGCTCCATTATGCTACATTTACCACCCACTCTCAGTAAAGAACGTAAAGCATCGTTGAGAAGTAAAGAACATTTTGTGATGGACCAGAAAAGTAGAGTGGACCAGAAAAAAATAAACAAGATCATATACAAGAGTCAGTTCCTGGTACCACAGCATGAAAAAAGATACCTGAATGAGGAAGTGCCCCTGTGGTGGTCAGGAAAGCAGAAACTAGGATGGCAAGAACTCTACCTCACAGTTTTACATAGCAGATAGGTATGGTTTTGTAGACTTTTAACTTTAAAGGTCACAGTTTCCATCTTTTCAGCCTAGGTTTGTTTGTTTCATACGTGGGTGACTTTTTTCTACTGTGTACCATCCTCCTGTTCTATTACACAGAGTATTCGCTTGTGAAATTATAATCATATATATGTTTCCAATACCCATGTTCAAATATACCAGTGCGTGATTTATCTAACCTTTCCGATAGGATTTTTAAGGGCTGGGAAATTTGGCTTCTATTGTATATCCTTATAATGTGCCCACGTTGTAAATATGCAATAAAAATCATAAAACACAATGGCAGCAGATTATGATATGTATTTCTTTGCTATATTGTTATTGGCCAAGTTTGATTTCTGTAAATTAAGATTGTTCATAAAAATCTAGGGAGAATTTAGTCATTGCTGGTCTCTATAACATTAGCTGATGATCTTTGACCTTATTTTAATTATTTTAAAAAATTTATGACCAGTATTTTCTAAAAAATCTTTTATTTAATCATAAGAAATTGTAGCTTGTTCTGAAATAATTGGAAATGTTAGAAGATAGGGATTTCTCTCTAACAACCCAACCATCCTTCCTGAGTGGGATAGAGATGCAGCATTCTTGCCAGGAACTGCATTACCAGGGTGGGTATGTCGTCATAGGTAGATAGTGTTTGTAAGTTCTCTCTTCCCTCTTCCCACCAGGACCAGATGGAAAGAGAGTGAACTACTAACCACGTGGTACCCCACTAACCCCATAGGAGGCAGGTACCAAGAAATGGGGTATGACTAGGGCACTAGAAAGGCTGTGTGTGTGTGTGTGTGTGTGTGTGTGTGTGTGTTACTGGGGATTGAGCCCAGGGCTTTGTGTGTCCTAGGCAACCACTCTGACACCAATCTACATCTTCAGCCCCAGAAATCAACTTTTTAAATCTATCAAAGTCTCCTTTTTCTGTAAATAATTGCAGCTTCAGAATGGCTGCCATGAATTATTGATTCAAAAATTTGGAAATTTGCCAATGAAGTCTCTTTAAATTATAGTTGAAGATGTAAGCAAAATATAACATGCAGAGAATTTATATTAACAGTTATTTTCATCTTAATTACAGTGTCCAAATCTGTAGACTTGATGTCTCCATAAAGTTGTTTCAAACCCCTGATAGTAAGAGCTGTTACCTGTGGTCTGTATTTGTTCACAATAAAGAGAGAAAATATGTAGCTTAATTTTAATCTTTGATAGTTCTGTCTGCCTTATCTTTAGAGTATTCTTATACCTACCAGTTCGACCATTTATCCACACACACAAACAGCTGTACTCATGGATGTGTTAGTCTGTTGCTGTGATTAGACACCATAACCAAGGCAATTGAATGGAAGAAATAGTTTATTTTGGGCTTACACTTTTATGAGGTTAGAGTCCATGATGGCAGAGCCCCAGGTGACCAAGCATCAGCTGAAAGCTGGTATCTTTTATTGTAAGGTGGGTGGGCAGACAGCATTGAAGGTGGAGGTTTCTGTTCCACCTGAATCCAGCAACACAGCATGCTGGAAATGGCACTAGTTTTTTTTTTTTTTTTTTTTTTAAAGCCTACCCCTATTGACTTCCAACAAGGCCACATCAAATCCTTCCCAAACAATTCCACCAATGCAAACATTTGATAATGCATAGAGACTACTGTTTCTGAAACTTGGTCTTATTCCCACTCCTTAGCAGTGTTCTAAGCCATGCTGCAGTGAACAATGGATGTTACTGTTTTTACAGCATCTAATCTTAAGGGTTCTGTAGGTAGAAACACTGACACAGGGTTATCTATATTCTTAGGCATGTGGCATGCCAGATTGCTCTCCAACAGATCAGGCAAGTTTATGTTCCCTTCAACAGCTAGAACACCCAACATGACTTTTTTTTTTTTTTCAGCATAGAAGTTTGGGGTTTTTGTTGCTGTTTGTTTTTGTTTTTTAGCCATTCAAATCATAGAGAAAAACAGTTGAGTTCCCATTTTTAACTGCACTTCCCCATTGGTGACTTAACTATCCTTTTTCTGTTCTCCTTTGGGGCCCTAGCATTTTCATTTGTTTGAAGATTTTTTAGAAAAGTAATAATTCCTATGTACAGCCTGCATTTTCCTCAATTTGTTGTTTAGTTTGTGTAGGGACACTAGCCCACTTGAGCATGTGGCTCTGGCAGGCCTTCCCTTATTGCCCATTCCCTGTGCTTTGCTGAAAACCTTAAATTACATTACTAAAGCTAACCACTAAGGTCTATTCTCCTATTTGGCCACTTTCTCCTATTGAGACTGACTACCAAGGTCCCAAAATCAGAAGTGATAGGGGATGACCTTCTGTATATATGTTTCTTTTATTGGTTGATGAATGAAACACTATTTGGCCAATAGAGGCAGGAAGATAGGTGGGGCTAGGAGATGAGAATTCTGGGAAAGGTAGGCAGAGGAATGCCGTAAAGAGAAGCCATGTAGACACCAAAGGAGTAACAGGTCCAGGCATTCTCTGGTAAGCCAAGACAATGTGGAAATACATAGATTTGTAGAAATGGGTTAATAATTTAGACAGAGCTAGTCAATAAGAAGCCCTAGTCATTGGCCAACAGTTTACAATTAATGTATGTCTCTGTGTGCTTATTTGGGGCTGAAGATAGGCTGGACCTGGAGGAAAAGAAACTCCAGCAACACAGAAGCCCCTTTTGGCTCACCTAATTAATATACCCAATTAAAATTAAATACCTCATCCTAACATGGGGTTTCCCCCTTTACCTTATAAACCAACATTTGCCTATGTGCCAGTCTGTCTCCTCCCTATCTAGATGCAGTCCTTGTCCCTTTGGGACAAATACCCCTGTCCCCTTTCTCTTGTCCTTTTCCCTGGTCCCCTATCTCCTTTACCACTGTATCCTAACCCATTCTAACACAGACCTCCCCTCTTTCTGCTCTCGAAAACAACACTTTCAAGGTCATTTGCTGCTTTTTCTCTGGCTGAGTCAGAAAGCATCCACTTTAACTTTTCTTCCTCAATTAATAAAGGATCTCTCTGTGAAAACAGGTGTTTGGGTGTGGTCTGTGCCTAATCTGGGCTCCAGGAGGAAGCCCACACTGTTTGTGGGTCTCCTTCAGTCTCTTTGTGAAGGTAGTGACAGCATTCACATGTCTTAGGACCTCTGTTCATTAACTACCTTGGATTTTTTACATGGCTTTGATGCTTAGAAAATCCTTGAGACTGAGTTTTGTTCCTCTTCTTTCTATTTGTCTAGCTCTTAAAGCCACAGCATTTCTGATGTATTGTATGAGGTGGTGATAGATGATAGATTTTTTTTTCCAAATACCGAATGCTCCAAACATCACATACTGAATAGTTTATCCCTCCCATTAATTGCTGGCAGTCCCTTGAAATTATGTTGAGTCTGTAAGTCCCATGGTCCACATCTACACTGGCTATTCCGTTCTGTTAATCCGTTTGTTATTCCTGTGTCAGCACCACGTGGCTTTCCACTATGCTTTAAAAGCAAACAACAAAGAAGGTAAGGGTTTTGTTGTTTGTTTGCTTGTTCTGTTTTGTTTCCGCTTTGAATTTTTGGTAGCATTGCACAAAAATAGCACTTTATTTCTGAAGTAACCGTTCTTATTTTGGTTGTATAAACAAAGAAGAAAATGGTTGATAGGTGAATATAGATACTAGCAAATCTGTGGCAATGAAGAATTATATGCTTAGATACATACAGCTAAGACAACAGAAGAAAGAGAAAAGTATTAGTTGTTGAGTGGATTACCCACACAGTTCACAGTGCACACACACACACACACACACACACACACACACACACACACACACACACACACACACACACACACACCCCACACACACACACACACAGATCTGGAGAAGGCTATAGGATGCTCAGGCAAAAGAACCAGCTAAAACTGGAAGGGAAAAAAAGAAATGCAGAGACAACTGCCTTGTTCTAAGAAGGTGATAATGACAGCTAATTCCACAGTATATTTTCAAGTATATTTACATTTTTGCTTGTAAAGGGAAAAACACACCGGATTCAAAACCCATGGAGTCAACAAACACAAAAAGAAAATTACATGCTTGCCTTAATGACAGAAGTAGAGACCCAGGCTCTAGACTAGCACACCATAGCTACTTGTCAGTTATGGTTGGATCAAAAGAATTCTCAAGTTCACCTAGATGCTTCTGCAATTGACAATATTTTAATTTTTCAATTTGATAAATTTCTGATGGTTCTAGACTTATTCAAAATAAGAGTTGCTTCAGACAATAAGACACAAAATGAAACATACTTTTGGTTTCCATGATTTAGAGCCTTGGGGTAAGACTCCTGCTTTGGTGTCAGGGTGATGTGGGTTAAACCTTAGGTGCCTTATGGTTGCAGACGACTATTGAGTGTATCTGGGTCAAAGGAGAGCAATAGGAGAAATATTTTCTTGGTAACTAAAGGAGGTGGGTGTAAGGTATTTAGTGGGTGTGGCTGGTTCATGGTCAGGGCCCTACATTAATAGCTCCTTGTGAGTTTCTGGACATGAAGTCTCTGAGAACAGAGTCCTGTTGCCTTCTTCTTTAAGGTTTATTGATACCTTAGGACAGTGATTTACCTCACAAGTACTCAGGAAGAATGTGAGGTTTTGTTTTCTAAGGAAAGTGGACATTTACATAAACTTTAAAATGCCATTACATTTTTGTTACATCTTGGGGCTTGCTGATTCCACCCTGTTTAGGAGGCTTTTCCCTAGGGAATATCAAGGCTAATAGCAAGAGAGTCCACTCTGATAGGGAAGCTCTGCCTGTGTCCAGGATCCTCTAATGCACTTTCACCTTGGCACTCAGGCTGCCAGCATGAGCCAGTGCACGGCTGTAAAGCAGCCCTGATGTCAGATCAGGTTTTTAGCCAGTGAGGGACAGGAGTGACAGGCCAAGGCAGGGGCAGTGTGTCCTGATGGAGGGGACCAGGAAGGAAAGGGAGGGGACACAATTCTTCCATGCAATTTGCCATGATTTGGTTCTATCATATTCTATAAACTTGAAAATCTAAATCTAGTTTTGAGATTAAATTCTAAATAAAACACATTACTGTTATTATCCTGGAATATACATTTTCAATCTAGAGCTTTTAATTCTTTGATTTCAAAGTTTGTCCCCCCCCAAAAAAAGGTAATGGTTTGAATTCATACTTAGGTTTGCCTGTAATGAACCATCGCCTCAGCCATGATTCTCCCCTGCCTTCCTAAGGGTCAGAAGAAAAATGGTTAGGAAAACCATACAAACAGTCCTTTTTACCAGC